ACCACCCTCCCACAAGACGCTAGAACTGATAATGTGCCATTTATCGGTTAAAACCTCCACAACCTTGATCTGTCCTGTCAGTTTGTGCCCATTATACTGAACAACTGGCGCAAGGGTACCAGGGACAAGTACAAGTCATAACTTAGTCAGTGAGAGCAGTTCTGCGTAAAGACATCTGAAAATCCCCTGGGTTCAAATCCTGTTATAGTTGAATGTTTTAGGGAACCTTATGATAAAACCAGTAGTTACATGGCCATAAACACGAGTGTTTTCAGGCGACAGCACAAGATCTGTCTCTACCAGTGCAGCTTGCAGTGGAGGTGTGCCTATGCATCAAGCCATGGCTGCTGCTGGATGGTCATCAGAAAGTGTTTTAGTCAAAGCCAATTGCCCCTGAGTGCTCTTTTGGCACAGGGGTTTGTAGGTAAAGAGGTCAGTTTGTAACGGAAAGACTTTGTACTCATTATTAGTTAATCCCAAAGCACGGAACAGATTGAACTGATTAAATGTCAGGGAAAGAATGGTGCGATTTGTGTGGTATTTAGCTCCAGTTTAGCACAGTAATTGGTTTTGATTGGCCAAGTGCATTAGGTCCTTTAGCTTTAATATCATATGTTATTTGGCATGTGCGATGATTAGTTACACCAATGAAATTGGACAGTCTGAAGTGGGAATGTTGACGAATGCTGACTGGCAATGAACCATCGTGTCAGCAAGATCTGATCTCTCGGACACGTCAGTCCACCTCGACATAAGCACCCCGAGACACAACAGCACGTTGCAATCATCGTACTTGTTGCCTTTTGTAATTGAAACTGCAAGAAGAAACTTGGGACAGCGTACATACATATGGACAAAAGAGTATTGCAACACCACATATTTTCCATAGTATCAATATGTTAACTATTAGCCACAGCAAAGTTACATATCCATTATCCAAAGTTCCAATTAACTCGCAGTCTTGATAAACTTACCATCAAGGAATAATTACAAGGAAAATTACCGTGGGATAAATATATTAAGTATTGGTATACGTTTTTTCATGTGTGTATATATACACACTTAGGAACGGATGATTGGCGCCATCTATTGGCAAAGTGGTAAAGGGGGATAAATGAGCAATGTTGCCCATCCCGTATGACATCTTAACGGCATTTCCGTACTGTTAGGCCTGTGTACATTTTCTGTTTACCGGTTGCATCAAAATTCGGAATAATGAACAGAGGTAACTCAGGTTAAAAGACTATACGTACATTCGTATATTTTTCATATGAATATGTAGACTGTATTGGCTGTGAGTTGATGAATCTCATGTTGTGTCATCTTAAAGCCAAAGTTACAAATATGTAACATACTACTGATAATGTAAAATTTCTTGAATGTTAAATGTGAATGGCAAACATATACACAGAGGCATAAGTTGTTTGGAATTGATTTGTTTCACTGAAACAGATAATAATAATAATAATAATAATAATAATAATTGATTTATAGAGCGCCTATTTCCAAAAGATATTGCTCAATGGCGCTATGAAGAGAAAAGATTGTAGACAATGTCTATGGAAAAGAGAGTTTGAACATATGAGTTTTGAGGGCAGTTTTGAAAGCATCAGCAGATTCTATTTCTTTTAGGGTGAGTGGTAGAATGTTCCAGAGATAGGGGGCTGCAGCAGAGAACGCTCTTGATCCCATGGCTGTTTTGACGTGAGGCTGTGTAAGCAGTAGGGAGTTTGATGAGCGGAGCAATCGGCTTGGAACATGGAGATGAATGAGGCTTTTAAGATATTGAGAAAACATGTTTTCATAGATGCAGTCGTGTGTAAGAAGAAGAAGTTTGTATTGAATTCTGCTTGATACAGGAAGCCAGTGAAGAGTTTGGAGGATAGGTGTCACAGTTTGGTAGCGTGGTGCACGGGCAACAACACGGGCGGCTGAATTCTGAATCCGTTGGAGTTGTGAAAGGAGCTGTTGAGGAATGTTGTAATAGAGGGAGTTGCAGTAATCAAGTTTAGAGAGAACAAGGCTGGTCGTTAGAAGCTGGGCGGTGTTGAAGTCTAAGAGGGTTCGGATCTTGCTAATATTGAAGATATGGTAGAAACATCCTTTGCTGAGTGATTTGATTTGATTTTCTAATGACATTGTTGATTGAAAGATGACACCAAGATTGTTTGCAGAGTCGGACTGCGTGATAACATCTTGTCCAATTTCAAGAGATAAACTGTCAGGCACTTTGGAAAGTTGATGCCTGGATCCGATGGTTAAGAACTCAGTCTTTGTGTCCTTCAATTTCAGAAAGTTCAAGGTCATCCAGTCTCTTATTTCAGCAATACATTGTTGTATCATCAGTGCACAACCTTGAGCAAGGTTAGGCTCCGCTGACAGATATAACTGATTGTCATCAGCATAAAGATGAAATTTCAGTGAGTGCTTTCGGACAATGTCACCAATGGGAAGAATGTACAGACTAAACAGTAATGAGTGTTAATGGCCGAAGTAACACAACCGAGCAGTTGCTGTATGAATTGCATGAAGCTTACAAGAAGCGGCACATACTCGATACAAAATAAATGGCCAGCAATGTTCACTTTGAAAGACCAGACAACCAGACGCTCATCAATTCCACTCAATGAGGTTTTAAGAAGTGCAGAAGTTAGAATACCTTTTCCCATTAACTATGACCGTAGGGAGATGTTGGCACCTGCAGCATTTGTGCAAACTAACACACTAACATTATGGGCACACAGGGGTTCATGCAACATGAGTAGTCAAAAGAATCTCTTCCGTGTCATGACTGACGTTAGTGCAAGCCCCGGGAACGGGACATTGCTAATGCGATAATGAAGTCTGTCAGGCGTGATCAGTGCGAAGGCTATCTACCTGAAAGAAATGTTTTGTTGGAGGCGTTATTACTGAGACGTCTCTTTCAATCACTGATGAACTTCATTATCTATGATACCTGATCATTGAACTCCAAGATATCTCTACGTTTAAGTGTCAAGACTCCTGCCATCGCCGTCGTCAAAATGATTACTTGACCAGTCGAAACATATTTACACTCAGGGTTATCAAGGCAAAATCGTTCCCCTCAGGATATGTATCCCGTCAATACAAACCTTGCCTCCAAGCGAAAGTCAAATGTCAACTCACATTGGGACAGTAATACAATATGAAATAGTGGAAATGGACAATAATTTAAAAATCACTTTTATATTGAGAATATGACTATAGTCTGTTTGCAGTGAAAACTTCCCGGTGAATTTCACTTTAAACAAAAATGTAAATCGAATACAGTGAAATTAAGATTTCGAATCCTCATAATTCTACCTTGCCAATTTAAAAATTAAATCTTAGATTTTAATTCAACTTAGGAAAAAAAGTTGTTTAACAAACGATCATTGTTTCAGATCGCTTATATTGGTCTGTATTATAAGGGTGTAAACGCAGTAATTGGAACAGTGAAACAAATGCACGTGCGGTACGTGATGAGCGTTAACTTAGACCAAGCCTCCTTCTTCTCGGTGTTTCATTTAATGTGCAAACAAGAGTTGAATAAAAATCTGAGATTTAAATTTTGAAATGGCAAGGTAAAAGGATTCGCAATCTTAATTTCTCTTTATTTGATTTACATATTTGTTTAAAGGGAAATTCATCGGTACCGTAAACAGACTATAGTGCACGTTTAGTTGTAACACGCCAGACACTGATGAAGTCAAGTTGTCTGTTATTTCCGATCTCCTGGCACTGCACTGTTCATCATTAAGATGCGTCCTCGTGCTTTAACTATAATAGTTCAGGGCAAAAGTGTGTTTTATTACACTATACATGGTGGTAGAGCGAAGTGTATTTCTTTTCTAAGATGCCAAATTTAATACTTTCTAAAGATAATTACGATTAATTTAAGGCAGAAAACAAACGACGGTGTCGGTGACCTAAATTAAGAATCCTCGCACAGGGCTAACTGGCGCGCTGGTCTATTGATGTGTCTGCCCCCTACGTTAAGACGAACGTTACCAGAAAAAAAAACAAATGATAACAGTTTGATGACGGTTTACGTTCGGATTTAATATCTTCTCTGAATTATTTTAATTACATCTGTCATTAACGTAAACCATATGGGGCAATATGAACGTTGCATTTCTACTACCAGCGTAAGTTTAGATCAGTACATCCAGAGGAAGTTGAGTAGTCAAGCGACATTCCACAATTGCATTGTGGGAATGTAAACATTACGAACGTTACCGTGTCGCTGAAAACTTGTGAGTCGAAATGACACATTTTAACCGTCGTAAAACATAAACGTAATGTTTCCACCAGTGATGTTAGCTGCGTGAAGCAACAGCAAACCAAGAAACTGGATGCAACGGTGTAGTTTACTGTAGGAGGCCGTACGAGGCGATGACAACTGACATGCATCGTGACGTCGCTTACATTGTGACGTAATGTAAAATGGTTCGATTACGAGGGGGCACACTAGAATGGCGCAGTGACGGGATAACGTCATTCAATTGTTACGTCATCAAAAAACTATACCTTTATTGTCTGATAATGTATTTATTTTTCGATTGTTCTAACCGCTAGGCATCTTAGAACAATAGATAGTCTTGCTCCCGTAGCTACGGCTGTGTAATAAACAACATTTATTGACCAATGAAACTAGAAGAACATACTGTTCATCTTCCAGAACACATCAAGTTGGTCTAGCGGATAGTGTCAGCCCGGAGAGTGGCAGGTCGGTGTTCCAGTTCCCGGTTGCGTCATGCCTGAAGATGGTATTCGTTGTTAAGCTGGTTACCCTCGGCATTACAACGACTGTTGAACCCCGAGTCAGTATCTTACATGTATGTCTAACTGTGGTAACCATTTTACACTGCATGTTATCTCAGTGGGCTGGCACTATATAACCGACGCACGTCGAGAGTATTACATCAGCCAAACACGTGCATGCGCTTTGTAAATGCAGTAATGTTGAACGCGACCTCACCTCACCTCACCTCACCTCACCTCTTCCAGACGACTTGAACTTTAAGATTAGTCAAATATGTTCCATACGCTGTTTCGCCTTCCCTTCTCCTTGAAGGTGAGGCTGAAGACTACGTCCGTATATGAACAACATGCATAGTGCGTGACCTTACGTTCCACCTTTTGCTCAGTCAACTCCCACTCTGTCCCATCCGAGTCGTAGTTCGAGAGGTCCACTTCGTTCGACGACTCAACTACGTTGAGAACAGAGACATCATAAGCCCAAGATCCATATTTAAGTCTGCAAGTGACGCTGCCGTCAGAAGTATAGTTCCCGACGTAACACCACGTCTTCAAAGTGGTAGGTGGCATATACATGACACCTCCTCTGTTGTCCACCTGAGTCAAGGTTTCAGGGCTGCTTGTGTGTCTGGCGACAAAGTGATATCACAATGAGCTAAATAGGTCATTTCCTTGATGGGTATTTTAGAAGTTGGGGTGATGAAGAATGATGATACTTTTTATGGATATACAACTTCTTTATTGTGAAAGGCGACGTTTCGACATAGATTCTTGCTTGACAACGACATTAGAATCTATGTCAAAACAATATGCCTTTCACAATAAAGAAGTTGTGTATCCATTCTAAATAGGTCATTGGTTAAAAAGCCAGCTTTGTCCTGCAGCAGTAACTATATCTTTATTAGTCAACATCATGGTGTATATTCCTGGTTATCATACCATCCAAAACCACCTTAGGTCACTGTAACACAGTCGTAAATTGCATATGAATAATGTTGTGTGTAGATGTACTCACCCCTTGAAGAGCAGAACATCCGGGTTCCAGATTCTAGATGCTGGCAGACGGATAACAGTCGTGTCGTTGAAAGTTGTGGGGTCCCACGACAGTCTTGTGTCTGTCCATCCGAAGTTCATCCATACTTCGAGCTCAGCATCACCTGACTTAGAATTCTGATGGAAGAGGAGAAAAGAATTCTGTACCTCATGTGCAGCACGAAAGCCTGATGGTGCCAAATTGGAAGGTTGTGTAAATGTGTTCATTTGATTCTGTTCTCTTCGATTATATTTTGGTAATATGGAATATGTCCCAGTATATCGTGTTAATCACATTTTCAAATTTTACTCCTTCCTATTTTCCCAATTTTCCGAATTTTTAAAATTAACCGAAATTCACTCAAAATGTACTTTAAGAAAAGTAGCCAACAGTGAAAGAACGAGACCAAAAATATATGTATTTTACCAAAGTGGCACCATTCGGCTTTCGAAGTGCAGGTGTAAAATATATTCAAAGGTTGTGTTGGACAGTAAGGCAAGCTTGACCACACCCATATTGTCTGTATGATGTGGCTCCGTTGTTGAGAGTATTTAGAGTCAGCGTATTATTGATACTCATGGTGGTACAACATGGGTAGTGAAAGTGGAGGCAATGCATGTTTTAGAGGGACTGGTAGTGAATGTGAAGGGATAAGTACTTAGCATATAAAACAACATTGTCAGTCAAATTTAGAGTGCTGGCCCACAGAGGTGCCATGCTGAACTGTTGTGTAGTGCTGACCTACAGAGATGCCATGCTGAACTGTTTTATAGTGCTGGCCTACAAAGATGCCATGCTGAACTGTTGTGCAGTGCTGGCCTACAGAGATGCCATGCTGAACTGTTGTGTAGTGCTGGCCTGCAGAGATGCCATGCTGAACTGTTTTATAGTGCTGGCCTACAGAGGTTCCATGCTGAACTGTTTTATAGTGCTGGCCCGCAGAGATGCCATGCTGAACTGTTTTATAGTGCTGGCCTACAGAGATGCCATGCTGAACTGTTTTATAGTGCTGGCCTGCAGAGGTTCCATGCTGAACTGTTTTATAGTGCTGGCCTACAGAGATGCCATGCTGAACTGTTTTATAGTGCTGGCCTGCAGAGATGGCATGCTGACCTGTTTTATAGTGCTGGCCTACAGAGGTTCCATGCTGAACTGTTTTATAGTGCTGGCCTACAGAGATGCCATGCTGAACTGTTTCATAGTGCTGGCCTACAGAGGTTCCATGCCGAACTGTTTTATAGTGCTGGCCTGCAGAGATGCCATGCTGAACTGTTTTATAGTGCTGGCCTACAGAGATGCCATGCTGAACTGTTTTATAGTGCTGGCCTGCAGAGATGCCATGCTGAACTGTTTTATAGTGCTGGCCTACAGAGGTTCCATGCTGAACTGTTTTATATTGCTGGCCTACAGAGATGCCATGCTGAACTGTTTTATAGTGCTGGCCCGCAGAGATGCCATGCTGAACTGTCTTATAGTGCTGGCCTACAGAGATGCCATGCTGCAGGCTTTATAGGCCATCCTACAGGTATACGCTGGGTGCAGACGCACCCTGTAACAATCGGGGCGAGATTCCAAGAACTCTGTTCTGCGAACTGCGGGGTCATCACAACTGTCACACCTCTACCCGCTTTCCTCCCTTGCTTTAATACGGGACAAGGTACAAAAAGAAACAAAAGAAATAAAAGACTACTAAAATGGATAATTTACGGTTACTAGTAACTTATTATAATATGTATCCATGCAGATTATCCATAATCCCATAGCCAGTATCCAAAAGCAGACTTGGGTACAAGTTTTAATTTAATACATATATAAAGGTTTTTATTTTCATTAGTTTCACTCTTTTCGCGTGAATCTTAACATTTCACAAGTGTGAACGAACATGGAGTTGGACGACAGCGGTTATTTTGTTTTATTGTACCCGTCAAACATATTCGAAAATGCCATGCGTTCAACGGGTATACATGGGGTTATGAAAGTCCTCGAGGATTGACCATGCCCGTGTTCAGAAACAGGAACCATTCCTCAGGGCAACTGGATAAAGAAGGGTCAACGCCTGTGAAGGTGTTGTGAAGAATCCCAGAATTATTCTTGTACTTCACACAAACAGATAATTATTACTGCTACACAAAAATAACGAGGAAGTCGAGAGTTGAGCTTCAAGTAGCTAGTACAACATACAGTCATTCTGTCTTGATATATAACCTGGATCGATTTTCAAGGCCCTCTGAACATCTAGGTTAAGATATTGCTCTTTGGGAAATTTGTGTTTTGTCGTTTTTGTAATTGGTTCCCATATAAACTGGTGGATCGAGATACTTCATTGAATTGCAGAAACTTTGGTTCTAACTGTTTTGAGGGGTTTGTGTATCCGTGTGTATGTGGTAGTAGTGTTATGCATGTAAGTATCGGGAGCCAGCTGGGAACTCGTGAATGTATGGTACCTCGGGTAAATAATTTTAGAGGTTCGAGTGTTACGAGTGTCACGACGGTACTAAAAGCCATTTTATAGGTACGTTAGTGATGTGGACCAATCAATACTATCGCAACGAAAACATTGATCTGCTGGCAAATGTGACACACTGGCGAGATAAGCTGCATAAGGGACATCCTTATGGATGCATGGACTAGCAATGACGTAAACTGTATTAGGGACATCCCTATGGATACACTGACCTGCTGGTCTATGGTACTCACCAGTGACGTAAACTGTATAAGGGACATCCCTATGGATACACTGACCTGCTGGTCTATGGTACTCACCAATGAGGTAAGATGTATAAGGGACATCCCTATGGATACATTGACTGGCTGGTTACTGCTCGTCATTGGGATAGTGGTACCAGCAGCTTTTCCCAAGACGTATGTGTACAGAGCATCAAAGAGCTGGCACTGAGCTAAAATGAAGAGAAACCCCTTTGATCGACCTTCAAAACAAGATGAGACTACAAAGTCGTCAGCCCCTGCTGTAACTGTTGTAACTGTGCAATGAAGATATTTAGAAAAGATACAGTTAATACAGTTGTAACTGCTGAAGTGTTCTGCAAGGGAAAAGTACTTTGGAGTGAAACTCTTCTATCAATATTTAGGAAAGATCATCTCATTTGTCGCCTTTAAAACACCTCCGCCACATCCAAAACCAGTTTCGCCGACATCAGTACAATAATGATAATTACTATTTTTCAGTTGGCAGTAATTTGTACCATTGTGTCAGACACACATTTCAGGCTTGAATTAGATGAGAATATATATATGAATGTGTCTGAATATTTTTATTTGTTTTGGAAAATATATGATAAAAATATCGTGATATATTTGAACAAAATTGTACGGAAAGCGTAATACTCGCCTTACTGCTCATTTGAAAAACCACAGTCTATATGATGAATTCCAGTCAGCGTATCGGAGCAATCACAACAATGAGACAACTTTACTTCATGTAATGGACACTCTACTTGGAGCAGTAGACTCTGGCCAGGCTTGTGTACTTGTCCTTCTTTATTTATTGGCAGCGTTCGATACGATAGATCACAAACAGCTTCTTGATTGTCTACAAATCCGTTTTGGATTAGGCGACTCTGTTCTAAGATGGTTTTCCTCATACCTATCAGATCGATCTCAGTTTGTGCTCATCCAAAATATTAGATCTCAGACACGCAGCCTTTCATGTGGTGTTCCGCAAGGTTTCGTATTGGGGCCGATGATATTCACTCTCTACATCAGCAGTCTTGGGGACCTTATTACTCGCCATAAAATCTTACATCATTGTTATGCTGATGATACTCAACTCTTAAGAAAACTCAATGTTAATGATGCAAAATCACAAGTTGCAGAAGTTGAAGTGTGTGTAGGGAATTTGAAGACATGGATGACTCAAAGTAAACTCAAACTAAACGATAAAAAAACCCAGACATTCTCATGGCTTGTTCACCCGTCAACAGACCTAAACTGAGTGTGAACTCACTTAAGATAGGCGAATCTCGGATCTATGTGAGTCCAACAGTCAAAAACCTGGGTGTCGTGATCGACTCCACACTTTCCATGTAGCCACACGTCAGTAACGTATGTAAAATCGGTTATCACCACATGAGGAATAGCTCCAGCATGCGCCAGTATATTACCAGCTGACACAACACACCATCTTGTAAGATCTACATGGTGTTGTCCCGCTTGGACTACTGCAACAGTTTGCTTGGGAACATGAACAAAGACCTGCTCTCCAGGTTGCAAAAAGTCCAAAATGCAGCTGCCAGATTGATCTGCAGAACCACCAAGCACAGCCACATCTCCCCAATCCTCGTGCATCTGCACTGGTTACCACTCCCAGCCAGGATAGAATACAAGATAATTAACATGACGTATAGATGTCTTAACAATGCAGCTCCATCCTATCTCTCTAGTCTTGTCAGAGAGTACGTTCCAACTAGGACTCTTAGATCAGCCAATCAGCCGCTGCTCATCGTCCCAAATGCACGTCTGAAGACATACGGACATCGACGTTTTTCCTACTTGTCAGCTATCCTCTGGAACAATCTGCATGTGTCTCTCAAAGAATCTCCCTCAATAGCCAGCTTCCAGTCTAACTTGAAAACTTTCCTGTTCAAGAAGCACTATGACATATAAATGAACTCCTGTTGTAAATATGTAGATATGTCAGCGCCATGAGCAACCACTTGGTGATTGGATATAGGGCGCTATATAAATGGACTTATTATTATTAATAATTTGTTTTCGTAAGTAGATATTTGTGACTAATGATACATTATATCCATACAAAATGTTGTTAAACTAGACATGGATATAACAGTGGCACATTAAACCAAACATTGAACCAGGGGTAATCATGGAGGATCTCTGTGAAAAATACATCATCAAAATACAGTTGAGAGAGGAAGTGTTGACCCTAACAATCACTAACCGCGGTCGGGGCACAGTACAACAGTCCACGTCCTACCAATACTGCTTGGCGCCAGAGGAACTCCCGTATATGATTGTGTAAAGATGTACATGAATAACGCTTACCGACGGCACATATTGCCAGCAGCCCAACAAACGTTCCCGTGGACATCGTGGACATCTATGTGCATAAATGCCTGTCCTTTGGCTGCTCCAGCTGTGAAATGTAGAGTCGACGATTATGATAAATTGCTTCCTGTTGATCAGCAAAATAATTGTTGCTTTGGAGGCCGAACTAGCACCACATTCAACACTAAATGTCAAAGGGCGTTCATTTTCATACTGCTGACCTTGTGTTCTTCTGGCTCTTTCGCCCATGTAATATTATTTTATATTTTTAAAGGATATTTTTATAGCGCTCATATTCACGCAACTAGTACATGTCGAAGGCGCTGGTATTTCTTCCCTCGATCATTGGATGTCACTCTCAATGGCACATCGTATTTCAATTTCAACTCCCTGGGAATCATACACCTCTTGCAGCCACTAGACGCACCGAGTTATTGTGGCCTTCCCATCTTTGCCCATTCACAGCTGAGTGGACTGGGACACATAGTCACAGTACTTTGTCCAAGCTTGCTGCACGTTTATACACCCACAACTGGGTGTTTGCACGTATTCATGTGGCCACCATCGGTTCATTTTAAGTGCACAGGGATGTGTACTGTACACTAGGGGTTTCGACAACACTGAAAGATTCTGCACACAAAGTTGACTCCAGGGTTACAGGTGGGCTCGATCCCGACACCTCAATCTCGCTGGATCACTAGCCTGTCGCCTTAGCCAGCTCGCCCACCATGCCTCACTATGGTTTCCAACTAAACAACCCATGAAGGGTCAGAATTGGATTTTAGTATCCCATGCTTGTCCAAAGAGGCGATTAACGGGAACGGGTGGTCAGGCTTCTTAACTTGGTTGGTGCAAATCATTGTATCCCAATTGCATCGATCGCTGTTCATGATGTCATTGTCTGTCAGCTGGCAAAGAGCTGCGTTAAACAACTATCAACAAACCAAAGCCAACTGAACACAGCCCCTGTTACGTATAAGCTTTTGTTTCCCAATATGATTTTAACCGACTAATTATCAAGGAGAGTGAATAATAAAACATTGTCCAAAAGACATCTAAAATGATTGGAGCATTAAGAAATTAAAGTTAGAACAGCAAACATATATACTGTAGTTATAGCCCCACAAATATGATGATGAAATATGATAACTCCCGTTTTATAATTGCAACAATCAAAATTCAAATTAATATCTTTTCGGCCATCTTTCAAAGTAAATAATATAACTTCATTTTTTTTTCAGTTTTTTTATTTGGACTATTCTATTCTAATGTGTAGGTAACAGGTAGTAGCTACTCTGTTCATTGAACCATAAATGTTGTTGTTTTGAGGTGTCTGCGAACTGCCTGTCTGCGTAATGGGAGGATACCGAATTGAGAGGCGGCCAGGCTTGGTTCGTTGCGTAACAGCCAGCCCCAACTGGATGCAGAATTGCCAATAAGATTGTCTTTTTTTTTAAACTATGTGTATATTCATTTTATAATGATATTTTAAAAGGAAATAGAACTGTTAGATAATTTTGAATATTATGTTTTGGATATAGATCAGTGGTATTTTAAAACTGCTAGTATGAATTAGCAACTGCGATTGTTGGTGGCGGTATCCTCAAGGAGGTTTAAAGTACCGTTAAATTATTGTCCTCCTGAGACGGTACAAAGACCAAGTCTTTCAAAGTGTATTTATTTCTACCACATTTTTGTTCGTCGAAAATGTGTTCGTTTTATCTTTGGCTAAACTTGTCATATTCGCCAACATTTGAAGGGACGATGTAAATCCAGTTAGGGTCCATGCAGGTAGCAAAAGCACTGTAAGTCCCCATGGTCCCTAGTGTGGTGACCTACCTTCAGTTGTTGTTGACCCATAGCCTGTTTATATATTGTATTGTCTTCAGAAGTAAAATAGGTTTAGATATACATGCTAGTGTTAAACACCATCTGTGATACTCTATAGCTAGTGTTTTACAACCCGTGAAGATCCGGGTTAGAATGAACCTTCAGTAACCCATGCGTGTCGTAAGAGGCGACTAACGGGATCGGCTGGTCAGGCTCGCTGGCTTGGTTGACATATGTCATCGGTTCCCATTTGCGCAGATCGATGCTCATGCTGTTGATCACTGGATTGTCAGGTCCAGACTCGATTATTTACAGACCGCCGCCATATAGCTGGAATATTACTGAGTGCGGAGTATCGCCTCCGTGGTGTGGTGGTTAGGGCGTCCGTCCGGAGAGCGGAAGGTCGCGGGTTCGATCCCCGACCGCGTCATACCAAAAGACGTTAAAACATGGTACTTGTTGGTCCCTGCTTGGCGCTCGGCATTAATACGTACAACAAGGACTGGTCGGCTCGGAGTCAGTATAATGTGTCTGAGTGGGGTATTCATGCTTCACTGCGGCATGGTATCTTAGTGGTCTAGCACTATAAAACCAGCTTAAGTCTTGGCTAGTACAAGCAGCCGCACATACACATACACACTCATGCACGTCGTCATATGAGCGAAATATTCTCAAGCACGACGTTAAACCCAATTTCACCTCACCTCACCTCACCTCACTAAGTGCGGCGTAAAACTAAACTCACTCACTCACTGTAGTTATTTTACAGCCCTTTGATGACTTTTGATGACTTGTATTGATTATGAATGGAAAACCTTTCTCGTCACTATATGGCTGAAATATTACCGAGGTAGCGTTAAATCTTAACTCACTCATGTGTCCCTTTAACTATGGGCATGGGGAGATGTTGGCACCTGCAGCATTAATGCAAACACACTAACATTATGGGCACACAGGGGTTCATGCAACTTGATTAGTCAAGATACTCCCCTACGTGTCATGACTGACGTTAGTGCTAGCCCCGGGAACACTAACATTATGGGCACACAGGGGTTCATGCAACTTGATTAGTCAAGATACTCCCCTACGTGTCATGACTGACGTTAGTGCAAGCCCCGGGAACGAGACATTGCTAATGCGATGATGAAGTTCAACTGACAGGCATGATCAGTGCGAAGGCTATCTACCCTAGACAATTCCGAAAAACATGTTTTGTTGGAGACGTTGTTACTGAGAAGTATCTCTCCATCACACATGAACCTCATTATCTATGATACCTGATAATTGAACTCCAAGATATCTTTTCCTTTAAGGGTCAACACTCTTGCCATTACAGTCGTCATATTGATTACTTGACCAGTCGAAATATGTACCACCCTGAGATTTGGGGGAACTCAGTGTCAGGTTCACACCAAAGGTAACATATCAACACACAGGGTTATCAAGGCAAAATCATTCCCCTCGGGACCTGCGTGCCGTCAAGACATTGCCACACACTGCAAGGCTTTTCTCCAAATGTTTGAAGAATTGAAAACGAGACGTCAAATGTCATCTCACAATGAGACAGTAATGCCGTATGAAACAGTGTATTTGATCAATAATTTATTGCATTTTTAAACTTCACTTTTATATTGAGTATATTAGTAGTGCACGTTTAGTTATAACACGAAGACAGGAGACAGTCATCATCACAAGATGTACATGAACTGCCAGACACTGATGAAGTCAAGTTGTCTGTTGTTTCCGATCTCCTGGCACTGAACTGTTCGTCATTGAGATTAGAACATATCACAATAGATCGCCTTGCTGCCGTGTCTACGGCTGTGTAATAAACAACAGTTATTGGTCAATGAAAATAGAATAATACAGTGTTCATCTTCCAGATCACACCAAGTTGGGCTAGTGGATAGCGTGTCTGTCCGGAGAGTGACAGGTCGGTGTTCCAAAGGTGTTACACTGCATGTTATCTCAGTGGGCTGATACTATAAAGCCGGCACACGTCGAGAATATTACAAGCAGCCAAACACGTGCATGCGCTTTGTAAATGCAGTAATGTTGAACGCGACATTGAATCGCAGCTCACCCCACCTCACCTTACCTCACCTCACCTCACCTCACCTCACCTCTCTATAAAACCGACGCACGTCGAGAATATTACATCAGGCAAACACGTGCATGCGCTTTGTAATTGCAGTAATGTTGAACGCGACATTAAATCTCACCTCACCTCATCTCTTCCAGACAACTTGAACTTTGAGATTAGTCAAATATGTTCCATACGCTGTTTCGCTTTCCCTTCTCTTTGAATTTTAAGGTGAAGACTACGTCTGGAAATGGCTGCTCACAACATGCATAGTGCGTGACCCTACGTTCCACCTTTTGCTTAGTCAACTCCCACTCTGTCTCATCCGACTCGTAGTTCGAGAGGTCCACTTCGTTCGACGACTCAATTACGTTGAGAAGAAAGCCATCGTACACCCACGATCCATATTTAAATCTGCAAGTGACGCTGCCGTCTTTAGTGTAGTTGCCGACGTAACACCGTGTCTTCAAAGTGGTAGGTGGAAAATACATCACACCTCCACTAGCGTCCACCACAGTCAAGGGTTCAATGTTACTTGTGTGTCTGGCGACAAAGGGATATCACAATGAGCTAAATAGGTCATTAGTGAAAAAAGTCATAAAAGTCGGCTTTGTCCTGCAGCAGTAAATATATATTTATTAGTCACCATCATGGACTACATATTCCCGGTTATCATACCACCCAAAACCATCCTAGTTCACTGTAACACTGTTGTAAATTGAATGGTAGTTTTTCACTTAATTATATAATGCGTAGATATAGCTTAACTAGGTTTCAACTTGGGTATCTACAAATAACAATACTCACCCGTTGTAGAGCATAACATCCGGGTTCCAGATTCTAGATAGCGGCAGACGGATAAAAGCCGTGTCGTTGAAAGTTGTTGGGTCCCACGACAGTCTTGTGTCTGTCCATCTGAATGACATCCATGTTTCGATCTCAGCATCACCTGACTTAGAATCCTGATGGAAGAAGAGAAATGAATTCTGTACACCATGTGCAGTACGAAAGCCTGATGGTGCCAAAATATTTAGGTATATGCATTTTTAGGTTGACTGTTCTCTTATATTTCTATTATGCTTTTCCCATTACTTTTATATTAGGGGAATTTTGATTGATTCCTAGTTTACTAGACCCGTGAAGGTCCGGGTTACAATGAATCTTCAGTAACCCATGCTTGTCGTAAGAGGCGACTAACGGGATCGGGTGGTCAGTCTCGCTGACTTGGTTGACACATGTCATCGGTACCCGGTTGCGCAGATCGATTTCCATGCTGTTGATCACTGGATTGTCTGGTCCAGACTGGATTATTTACAGACCGCCGCAATATAGCTGGATTATTGCTGCGTGCGGCGTAAAAGTAAACTCACTCACTCACTCTGGTATACTTCTGGAATATAGTAACTGTGCAAGTTTGATGTTGTAAAATATTTTAATGCAAAGAATAATAGCAATAATTTGTGGTGTTTTCCTTGATCAGTGTTTAGCTGTTGACAGAGTAAAATCGACATATGTGTGGTTTGACACTAGGCATCCTGACACGCCACTGGAGAGATGCGGTGTCAAATGTCAGTTCACAAATTCAGTATCGTGTGTGCTTGACCACGAAGCATATTGTTCCATGGCTGAACCAACGCTTGTCCCAATTCAGCTAACGTCTCCCTTTCATCCCAAGCGCGCTCGATAGAAGACTTGTGCGGAGAAACAGCTGGCCAGAGGAGTACCGGAATGTTCTTCTGTCTCAGGAAATCTGTTACAACACGAGCGATATGTGGACGGGCATTTTCTTGCTGAAGTGTGAAACGTCTCTGTCCTTGAATGAACGGCTGCACCTGCGGCCCAATCATCTCACCCCTGCATCACAGACCTGTGAGATTGCCACCCACAATGAAAAGTTGTGCCCAACCATGAGATGTGATGTTTCCCTATACCATAACGTTTTCTCCGCCAAACTGTTGACGTTGAACAACGCACGCGTCAGCATACCCATACATCTGTACACTCTTGCCCTGCCATCTGAGCTGTCCAAATGAAATCTCGACTCGTCAGTGAACAAACACCATCCCAATCTTGTCTCCTGTACCGTAGATGCTGTCTGCACCAAGACGTTCCTGTCGGTGACGTTGGAGCACAATTGGACGTATTGCAGGCCGTCGGGGACGGGTGTTGAGCTCCTTCATGATCAGTCGGTTCCGTACATTCTTGGAACCGATTGGACATAAGTCAGTAAAGGTCAGAACAGTCAAACTGTTATGTCCCATTATGTTGAAAACGTCTCCATAGAGGTGAGATCGTGTTGTGATGGATGTCAAAATGTCTAGTATTGGGTCATTCCAGTCTACAGCAGAGACGCTGATTTTCTGTAAGCCGTGGTAGGTTGAAATTAACGTGTTTCCACAACAATCAATCGTTCTTAGATTTTCAATATCAGATCTGTGAACTTCATGTGTCAAAAAGCATGCACACAGTGTGTAAGTTCATTGTGCACAAAGGTTTAGTATGACAACGTTTCAAATAACTTTTATTTTATGCAGTTATATCTTATCTTTTTCCGCTAGTATATTTTTAAGCATATTTTTAAAACGAGAAATGTCTGTTATTTACTCGTTCCTATTTCCTCAAAAGTTCTTAAAATTAACCTAAATTCACTCAAAATTTAATTTTCGAAGAACAAAAAAAATTGAAAAACCAAGAAATATATTTATACTAAATTGTATCATATTTTGAACTGCTGGGGTCATTTACAGTAGTCAGTGTTCTGGTGAAACAGTATTGGTAGTCAGTGTTCAGGTGAAACAGTATGGTAGTCAGTGTTCAGGTGAAATGGTATTGGTAGTCAGTGTTCAGGTGAAACGGTATTGGTAGTCAGTGTTCAGGTGAAAGGGTATTGGTAGTCAGTGTTCAGGTGAAACAGTATTGGTAGTCAGTGTTCAGGTGAAACGGTATTGGTAGTCAGTGTTCAGGTGAAACGGTATTGGTAGTCAGTGTTCAGGTGAAACGGTATTGGTAGTCAGTGTTCAGGTGAAACGGTATTGGTAGTCAGTGTTCAGGTGAAACGGTATTGGTGGACACTGTTCAGGTGAAACAGTTTTGATATTTAGTGTTCAGATACACCAGTACTGAGATTTAGTGTTGAGGTGCAAAAGTATTGAGAATCAGAGATTAGGGTGAAATAGTATTGATCGGGTGAGGAGAAGTGGGGTTTCATGATAATCTGATTTACACAGTGTAAATGCATGTATGTGAGTGTGGCTGTAAGTGTTATAGTGTGTGCATGATATACTTGAAACGAGTGATCCTGATGTAATTTTACCAGAGACTCAATACATACGTTGTACTTTATGGGGTTTAAGGTCATCTGTACAAGTTAGAGTGTGGTGCTTTATCCATCAACTGCCCATCCGACCTCGGCCATTATTTATATCAAGTCTTAATTGACATTGGCGATTCAAACTACTGGTTGCGACATCATGTGCCTATTTAACCCCTCAAATTCCATACTAAACGCTTCATATATACCTCATATTTCTCATGAATACATGGCACTTTTTATGGTTAAAACTTCTTTACAAAACGTTTCCGAGTTTATTCTTGCTCCTTCATCTGTGCACAGAGTAAATATATATAGATAGAACAGTCATGTTTACATAACGCAAGGAGGGAAGGACATGTAACCAGTGATATATATCATCAAGGGTGAGGGCTGCTTGGGTAGTATAATGGATGAAGCGTTCGGTCTTCACGCTGAAGACCCGGTCCCCACAAACTATACTCACTCACCCCGATTGACCTGCTGGTCTATGGTATTCACCAGTGATGTAAGCTGTATAAGGGACATCCCTATGGATACACTGACCTGCTGGTCTATGGTACTCACCAGTGACGTAATCTGTATAAAGGACATCCTTATGGATATACCTACCTGCTGGTCTATGGTACTCACCAGTGATGTAAGCTGTATAAGGGACATCCCTATGGATACACTGACCTGCTGGTCTATCGTACTCACCAGTGATGTAAGCTGTATATGGGACATCCCTATGGATACACTGACCTGCTGGTCTATGGTACTCACCAGTGACGTAAGCTGTATAAAGGACATCCTTATGGATACACTGACCTGCTGGTCTATGGTACTCACCAGTGATGTAATCTGTATAAAGGACATCCTTATGGATACACTGACCTGCTGGTCTATGGTACTCACTAGTGATGTAATCTGTATAAAGGACATCCTGATGGATACACTGACCTGCTGGTCTATGGTACTCACCAGTGACGTAAGCTGTATAAGGGACATCCCTATGGATACACTGACCTGCTGGTCTATGGTACTCACCAGTGACGTAAACTGTATATGGGACATCCCTATGGATACACTGACCTGCTGGTCTATGGTACTCACCAGTGACGTAAGCTGTATATGGGACATCCCTATGGATACACTGACCCTGGTCTATGGTCTCACCAGTGACGTAACTGGGACACCATGGATGACCTGCTGGTCTATGGTCACCACTGAAGCTGTATAAGGGACATCCCTATGGATACACTGACCTGCTGGTCTATGGTACTCACCAGTGACGTAAGCTGTATAAGGGACATCCCCATGGATACACTGACCTGCTGGTCTATGGTACTCACCAGTGACATAAACTGTATAAGGGACATCCCCATGGTTACACTGACCTGCTGGTCTATGGTACTCACCAGTGACGTAAGCTGTATATGGGACATCCTTATGGTTATACTGACCTGCTGGTCTATGGTACCCACCAGTGACGTAAGCTGTATATGGGACATCCCCATGGATACACTGACCTGCTGGTCTATGGTACTCACCAGTGACATAAACTGTATAAGGGACATCCCCATGGTTACACTGACCTGCTGGTCTATGGTACTCACCAGTGACGTAAGCTGTATATGGGACATCCCTATGGTTACACTGACCTGCTGGTCTATGGTACCCACCAGTGACGTAAACTGTATAAGGGACATCCTTATGGTTACACTGACCTGCTGGTCTATGGTACTCACCAGTGACGTAAGCTGTACAAGGGACATCCCTATGGTTACACTGACCTGCTGGTCTATGGTACTCACCAGTGACGTAAGCTGTATAAGGGACATCCTTTTGGGTACACTGACGTCTTGGTCTATGGTACTCACCAGTGACGTAAGCTGTACAAGGGACATCCCTATGGATACCCTGACCTGCTGGTCTATGGTACTCACCAATGAGGTCAACTGTATAAGGGACATCCCCATTGATACACTGACCTGCTGGTCTATGGTACTCACCAGTGATGTAAACTGTACAAGGGACATCCCTATGGATACACTGACCTGCTGGTCTATGGTACTCACCAGTGATGTAAGCTGAATAAGGGACATCCCTATGGATACACTGACCTGCTGGTCTATGGTACTCACCAGTGATGTAAGCTGTATATGGGACATCCCTATGGATACACTGACCTGCTGGTCTATGGTACTCACCAGTGACGTAAGCTGTATAAAGGACATCCTTATGGATACACTGACCTGCTGGTCTATGGTACTCACCAGTGATGTAATCTGTATAAAGGACATCCTTATGGATACACTGACCTGATGGTCTATGGTACTCACCAGTGATGTAATCTGTATCAAGGACATCCTTATGGATACACTGACCTGCTGGTCTATGGTACTCACCAGTGACGTAAGCTGTATATGGGACATCCCTATGGTTATACTGACCTGCTGGTCTATGGTACCCACCAGTGACGTAAGCTGTATATGGGACATCCCCATGGATACACTGACCTGCTGGTCTATGGTACTCACCAGTGACATAAACTGTATAAGGGACATCCCCATGGTTACACTGACCTGCTGGTCTATGGTACTCACCAGTGACATAAACTGTATAAGGGACATCCCCATGGTTACACTGACCTGCTGGTCTATGGTACTCACCAGTGACGTAAGCTGTATATGGGACATCCCTATGGTTACACTGACCTGCTGGTCTATGGTACCCACCAGTGACGTAAACTGTATAAGGGACATCCTTATGGTTACACTGACCTGCTGGTCTATGGTACTCACCAGTGACGTAAGCTGTACAAGGGACATCCCTATGGTTACACTGACCTGCTGGTCTATGGTACTCACCAGTGACGTAAGCTGTATAAGGGACATCCTTTTGGGTACACTGACGTCTTGGTCTATGGTACTCACCAGTGACGTAAGCTGTACAAGGGACATCCCTATGGATACCCTGACCTGCTGGTCTATGGTACTCACCAATGAGGTCAACTGTATAAGGGACATCCCCATTGATACACTGACCTGCTGGTCTATGGTACTCACCAGTGATGTAAACTGTACAAGGGACATCCCTATGGATACACTGACCTGCTGGTCTATGGTACTCACCAGTGATGTAAACTGTACAAGGGACATCCCTATGGATACACTGACCTGCTGGTCTATGGTACTCACCAGTGATGTAAGCTGTATATGGGACATCCCTATGGTTACACTGACCTGCTGGTCTATGGTACTCACCAGTGACGTAAGCTGTATAAAGGACATCCTTATGGATACACTGACCTGCTGGTCTATGGTACTCACCAGTGATGTAATCTGTATAAAGGACATCCTTATGGATACACTGACCTGATGGTCTATGGTACTCACCAGTGATGTAATCTGTATCAAGGACATCCTTATGGATACACTGACCTGCTGGTCTATGGTACTCACCAGTGACGTAAAATGTATAAGGGACATCCCCATGGTTACACTGACCTGCTGGTCTATGGTACTCACCAGTGACGTAAGCTGTATATGGGACATTCCTATGGTTATACTGACCTGCTGGTCTATGGTACCCACCAGTGACGTAAGCTGTATATGGGACATCCCCATGGATACACTGACCTGCTGGTCTATGGTACTCACCAGTGACGTAAGCTGTATATGGGACATCCCTATGGTTATACTGACCTGCTGGTCTATGGTACCCACCAGTGACGTAAGCTGTATATGGGACATCCCCATGGATACACTGACCTGCTGGTCTATGGTACTCACCAGTGACATAAACTGTATAAGGGACATCCCCATGGTTACACTGACCTGCTGGTCTATGGTACTCACCAGTGACATAAACTGTATAAGGGACATCCCCATGGTTACACTGACCTGCTGGTCTATGGTACTCACCAGTGACGTAAGCTGTATATGGGACATCCCTATGGTTACACTGACCTGCTGGTCTATGGTACCCACCAGTGACGTAAACTGTATAAGGGACATCCTTATGGTTACACTGACCTGCTGGTCTATGGTACTCACCAGTGACGTAAGCTGTACAAGGGACATCCCTATGGTTACACTGACCTGCTGGTCTATGGTACTCACCAGTGACGTAAGCTGTACAAGGGACATCCTTTTGGGTACACTGACGTCTTGGTCTATGGTACTCACCAGTGACGTAAGCTGTACAAGGGACATCCCTATGGATACCCTGACCTGCTGGTCTATGGTACTCACCAATGAGGTAAACTGTATAAGGGACATCCCCATTGATACACTGACCTGCTGGTCTATGGTACTCACCAGTGATGTAAACTGTACAAGGGACATCCCTATGGATACACTGACCTGCTGGTCTATGGTACTCACCAGTGATGTAAGCTGAATAAGGGACATCCCTATGGATACACTGACCTGCTGGTCTATGGTACTCACCAGTGATGTAAGCTGTATATGGGACATCCCTATGGATACACTGACCTGCTGGTCTATGGTACTCACCAGTGACGTAAGCTGTATAAAGGACATCCTTATGGATACACTGACCTGCTGGTCTATGGTACTCACCAGTGATGTAATCTGTATAAAGGACATCCTTATGGATACACTGACCTGATGGTCTATGGTACTCACCAGTGATGTAATCTGTATCAAGGACATCCTTATGGATACACTGACCTGCTGGTCTATGGTACTCACCAGTGACGTAAAATGTATAAGGGACATCCCCATGGTTACACTGACCTGCTGGTCTATGGTACTCACCAGTGACGTAAGCTGTATATGGGACATCCCCATGGTTATACTGACCTGCTGGTCTATGGTACCCACCAGTGACGTAAGCTGTATATGGGACATCCCCATGGATACACTGACCTGCTGGTCTATGGTACTCACCAGTGACATAAACTGTATAAGGGACATCCCCATGGTTACACTGACCTGCTGGTCTATGGTACTCACCAGTGACGTAAGCTGTATATGGGACATCCCTATGGTTACACTGACCTGCTGGTCTATGGTACCCACCAGTGACGTAAACTGTATAAGGGACATCCTTATGGTTACACTGACCTGCTGGTCTATGGTACTCACCAGTGACGTAAGCTGTACAAGGGACATCCCTATGGTTACACTGACCTGCTGGTCTGTGGTACTCACCAGTGACGTAAGCTGTATATGGGACATCCCTATGGTTATACTGACCTGCTGGTCTATGGTACCCACCAGTGACGTAAGCTGTATATGGGACATCCCCATGGATACACTGACCTGCTGGTCTATGGTACTCACCACTGACGTAAGCTGTATAAGGGACATCCCTATGGATACACTGACCTGCTGGTCTATGGTACTCACCAGTGACATAAACTGTATAAGGGACATCCCCATGGTTACACTGACCTGCTGGTCTATGGTACTCACCAGTGACGTAAGCTGTATATGGGACATCCCTATGGTTATACTGACCTGCTGGTCTATGGTACCCACCAGTGACGTAAGCTGTATATGGGACATCCCCATGGATACACTGACCTGCTGGTCTATGGTACTCACCAGTGACATAAACTGTATAAGGGACATCCCCATGGTTACACTGACCTGCTGGTCTATGGTACTCACCAGTGACGTAAGCTGTATATGGGACATCCCTATGGTTACACTGACCTGCTGGTCTATGGTACCCACCAGTGACGTAAACTGTATAAGGGACATCCTTATGGTTACACTGACCTGCTGGTCTATGGTACTCACCAGTGACGTAAGCTGTACAAGGGACATCCCTATGGTTACACTGACCTGCTGGTCTATGGTACTCACCAGTGACGTAAGCTGTATAAGGGACATCCTTTTGGGTACACTGACGTCTTGGTCTATGGTACTCACCAGTGACGTAAGCTGTACAAGGGACATCCCTATGGATACCCTGACCTGCTGGTCTATGGTACTCACCAATGAGGTAAACTGTATAAGGGACATCCCCATTGATACACTGACCTGCTGGTCTATGGTACTCACCAGTGATGTAAACTGTACAAGGGACATCCCTATGGATACACTGACCTGCTGGTCTATGGTACTCACCAGTGACGTAAGCTGAATAAGGGACATCCCTATGGATACATTCACTGGCTCTCTGCTGCTCACGACTGGGATGGAGGTATTAGCCGCTTTGTCCAGGACGTATGTGTACAGAGCATCAAAGAGCTGGCACTGAGCTAAAACGAAGAGAAACCCTTTGATTGGCCTTTACACCAGAACAAGAACGTCGTCGGTCTTAACTGCGCAATGAAATTAAGATTAGAAAAGATACAGTTAATACTTACATTAAATCACTTTTGACGCCTTTAAAACACGTTTGCCTATCCAAACCCAATTTCGCCGACATCAGTACAATAATGATAATTGATATTTTGGAGTTATCGGTAATTTCCAACATTGTATCAGACTTGAGTCTTGTGTAAGATTGGAGAAGGTATAAATATGCATGTAATATATGTTATTGGTTTCTGATTATATATTATACAAAATATGCGGTGTATTTGAACAACTGTATACAGAGAGAGTAATCTGTTTGAGTGAGTAAGTATAGTTTTACGCCGCACTCAACAATATTCCAGCTATATGGCGGCGGTCTGTAAATAATCGAGTCTGGATCAGACAATCAACAGCATGAGCATCGATCTGCGCAATTGGGAACCGATAACATGTGTCAACCAAGTCAGCGAGCCTTACCACCCGATCCCGTTAGTCGCCTCTTACGTCAAGCATGGGATACTGAAGATAAATATTCTAACCCGGGCCTTTACGGGACAGTCTCCATAGATTTGCTGAAGTAGATATTTAAAACATATAATATATTATGAAAGTATAAAATGTTGTGAAATTTAACCATCGAAATACAGTGTAGAGAGGAAGTGTTGACCCTACAATCACCACCCACGGTCGGGGCACAGTACAACAGTCCACGCCCTACCAATACTGCTTGGCACCAGAGGAACCCCCGTGCATGATTGTGTAAAGCCATACATGAATAACACTTACCGACGGCACATATTGCCAACAGCCCAATAAACGTTCCCGTGGACATCGTGGACATCTATGTGCTGGGAGGTTTGTCTGGTTACTGCTCTAGCTATGGAATATATACCCGACAATTACGATAAATTGTTTCATGCTGATTAGCCTAAAGGTCATAGTCACGTACTTTGCACAATAATTGTTGTTCTGGAGGCCGAACAGACATAATGTGCCTCAATGAGCTAAAAGTCAAAGGGCATTCATTCTCATTCTGCTGACTTTGTGTTCTTCTTGCTCTTTCGCCTATGTTTCCCAACTGAACAAAACATGACGAGTTAGAATACGTTTCCATCAACATTGTTGGACTAAATGTCGTAAGAGGCGATTAACGGGAAAGGGTGGTCAGGCTCGCTGACTTGGCTGATGCAAATCATTGTATGCCAATTGCGTAGATCGATGTTCATAACGTCATTGTCGATTATTTAGCTGGAAAACAGCTGCCTTAAAACAACAAACCACAGTCAAAGCTTCTGTTACTTACATGTTTTTGTTTTCCAATACGATTATGTATTTACGTGTTGTGGAACTATCAATGAATATCGAAGTTCTACTTGTTTTAGTACTCATGCTGCCTTGGATATGGAATCATCTTCTACATCAACGTTTAGTGGATATGACAAAACTTTAAGGATTATCAACTTCTTTATTTTAACAATGGCGAGGTTTTGGTATAGATCCGTATACCGTTTTCAAGCATATGACTTGACTTTTAGTGGCCTTTTGGAAGGGAAGGTGCCAGGCCCCACATACTGCGCAGGGTGGATACACTCGCTACTGACCGCGTGAACATGCTTTGCCTTGTTGCTCATTTGTGTAAGCCAGATGCGCTGTTCTTATGGACTGTTGATCGTTACCATAAATAGAAACATTTGTCTTTCCATGTAATATTGTTTCATTCGCGACAGTAAGAATTCATCCTGTTTCTTGTTTGTGAGTCACAAGTTTTGCCTTTGAGTACATTTAACAGGTGAAAAGATACCCAACCCTGTCTTATTTGCATGTGCATGTTCAACCATTGGCCATGAATTAGCAGTTTGTCATTATGTTCTTTTATGCAATTTGCAATCACCGACTGAATTATTTATGCCTTGGCAATGCATTGGTAGGCTTGACAGTTCTGTACCAGCATATTTATAGATGGACTGGTCTTCCCTTTCCCCATGCCTGAACCTGACTTAACACATTTGAGGTTAGCTCTTTTCATATGCATTACCCTTAGAAGGCAAGGCAATCTGTGATCCTTATTATGATTCAGCAGATCGTGACTAATTATTGACCTATATAATTGGTCTTGCGCCTGAAGGTTGTGAGATGGCATATACATACTGACTGTGCAATGGTCGTGTCGAAGGAACTCTTATCATACACCCAGGAATGGCATGTTTCCGTGTATCTGTTGAGGGGTCTTGTATGGTTGTCATCACGGCGTAAGGTAACGTCGGTGGGATAAGTGTACATTTTACACGGCGAATACGAGACGTTATACCAGGCCAGTCGAGGTATGGTGAGGTTGATTACGTATTCATGTTCTTTGTCCTGAACTTCGTATGTATCATTTTTTACACCCGGTATTGCGCAGCTGGAACATATTTATAACATGTTTAGTGAAGTCACCATCCATATTGATCATGGCGAGACATGGTCGGGCAGACCAATAGTTGTCTTGGCTATCACAACTGTGATAGGGGGATGAACTTAACTTTCCAGCCTTCATGTTTAAAGTTTACCTTCATATCGAGCAATATTCTAGCTACTCCATCCTTTTGCAATTCTGCATTAAATAATGTTTAGGTACAGTGAACTATGTTAGTTTTATCAAGATGTAACAGAAGGTAATATAATTCCTACGTACGAATTGTTGTCATCGGATAAAAGTGCACACCTGGTAATAGCCTTTGTATGTTTGTGACGGATGCCACTGATTTGTCAGGATGCACTCATCTTTTCGAGAATGAGTGAGTGAGTATTATCAATATTGATTCATGCCGATAGTATAGTCAAAATTGTAACATCCTATGGATATAGAAAGTGTTTTGCCGCTGTTTAAGGAATGACCGAATTTCTTGCAAGTGTTTGCAACGCTTATATATTAGTATTAAAAGCAGTAATACCAATACGTGTGTCTTACCGGTGTTCGGGAACAGCAAAGAGAAACACGACCAAGGATATGCTCTGGATAGCAATCGCTATAGCGGGCAGGCAGAGCATCACGGACAGTCCCCTCTGATAAGGTCCAAACTCTCCAATGGTTCTCAAGAGATCATCGAACTTCATGTTGAGTTGTAGCCAAAGTAATTATGCATACTGATATTAAACCATTTTGTTTCGGGTGTAGTAACATGTGATAATCGAAATAATGAAATTTAAATAAGACCATGAATTTCAGGTGTATACTGATCTAATAATATGATATGTTTTATGAAACTTGAAAGTGCGAGGTCAATTTGATATACTTAATTATTTAAAAATATTATATTAGGTTTGAAAAGGTATTTGTTTTATATTATGACATTCCGTAACTTGTAAAGCCCGCGCGTAGCGAAACGGGGAATCCCGTGACGTCATTTTCAAGCCTATTGACACCTGTGACTCCAAACCTTTCTCCTGCCTAAATCTGCCTTTTCACTTGGAAAGAGGTAGAAATGGTGGCTCTATCAATTGTTCGATGACGCCGTGCATCCCCAGGCAGCACAATGCACCATCTTATTATTAAAACAAAGACGACAGAAAAAGGCGGTTTACATTTTGGCAGCTCTTGGTCTTAGGCAATATGGCCGACTTCACGAGTGAAAAGGTCACGTGGTTTACAGCGGAAAATGCACAATGGCCGAAGCTGAGACAACAGAAACTGTGTTTGCTTTTAAAATAAGAATAAAAACTAACGCCACCTTTCAAGAATGGTTCTCTTCACTATACCACATCAGGTTGTCTTAGCAACCTAAGAATGGTTGTCAAAAGGTTTTAATATTTGCTGGGTCTGTCATATGTAGCGGTTGTATCGAAAACATAATTATCACTGGTCCTGTCACTTAAATCACTATGAAGGTTATATTTCCGCGGCAGATCTTGAAAACTGTACACCATGTTTTTCACCAAACCTAGGAGGTGGGTAGGTCCAGTGGTGAAATGGTGCCATTTGATAGCTTAGGAATTTGGGGAAAAGTTATCATGGCAACAACTCTAACTGAGGCTGAAAATGGAGGTGTGTGGTCTTGCCCAGGTTACAAATCAGATGAATCAAAGTTGGTCACGGTCTTCAAGGAGAGTCCTTGCATGGGTTTTTGGCAGCTTGACTCCTGAGAGTTTCAAGGACTACTGTCCTATCCTACAATGAAGCACACGTGATACATCTGGTCTCACCTTAGGCAAGTGAGTTTGTTAAAAACTGCCTCTGTTAACCAAGCAGAAAATGGGTATCGGATGAGTATCATAGCTTGATTTACACCATCCATTCAGTCATTGGTGGTTGTGCTTAGATTTAGCCATAAATTATAATGACATAAATGATACGATTAAAAAGCTTGATACATCAAAATTTACTTTAAATGTTTCAGGACTGACGTATCCTCTAAGGACCCATTCATAGTGTAGTCTCATATAGTTATATTTGATTTAGACAACGAAAGATGGATTTAAACAATGCTTCACAATATATCGAGATTTGATTAAAAAGACTGAAATAAACAGCGAGACATTGAGGGCGAGAATGTCCAAAGATGCTCCTAATTAGGTAAATAAACAATTTTATGTTTCCAACAACAGTCGTGAATTGCTACATTTTACTACACAACGCGATGGCAAACTTATTACTTGAGACAGCATTCAATAAATAGCAAAAGGCGCCTGTAAACTTCATTATTTGTATTTTATAGGTTTCACGAAAAGAACAATGCATAATTTCTATCACTTCGAATTTAAATATGGAAGGTTTTGAAATATCATATTTTGCGTGCCATGAAATAAATTTAAAGAAAATCAAATCACCAGGTTTTTATTCCATCTTGTGACATAGAATAAAGATATCAATAGTTAACTAATGATGTTACCGGGATACCTCTGGCATTTCTAAAGGAATTATCAATGCATAAAAATGAGAAACAGTGGAAAAGTACCTCAAAATACCTTAAGTATCGCCACATTCTGCAATAACGAAAATTGCCGTGTAATTTGATTGGATGGCATTATTAGGGATGTGTCGTTTATCTCAAAACCAAGGGATGGTGCCGATATGGTGAAAAAGGATATATGAAAGTATCATAATGGCATGCACATTACACACTACACATATTAGTATGTAAACTCAATGTCAAATAATTGTGTAGGTGTTGATAATTACTCCTACACGTACATCTAACCTAGAAACAGTCGATGCCCACAACCAATTTACTTTACAATTTGAATGTGCAACACACACCATGATGCTATCATATCCAATAGGTGTCAGATTAACAAACATGTTTAGTTTCCATAGAAAACAACCATTTGACCAATTTTAGAAATACAAACACGTGTACGCCCATGAGTTATTATTTTGGCATAGAAACGGTATATATTTGTTTTCAAACATATGTCTGGCCTTGGCTTACATGTAAAAAGTAAACGGCAGCAATTCAATTAACGGTATAGTGGTTGCACCAAATGAAACTAAATTAGTATTCAGTTGGGGACACTACCTAGTTAGTACTATTTGTTTTCGTGAAGCCAACTGTTACCAGTCTTGTCTGTAATTAATTACCTTTTAATGATCAGTATTCCCGTTGTATCGGGCTTGTACCTAATTTGTGGTCTACGTTTCACAAATTGTGATTACAATGTGAAATGCTTGTTCTACGATTATTTCCATTCGGTTTACAGTACGCATGTGAACGATTAGGAATGTATGTTCTACGATTATTTTCATTCGGTTTACAGTACGCATGTGAACGATGAACATGACACACCATAGTCCAAAATGATATCCGATGCAATTATCCATTTCTATTTGGACAATTTGTTTTCATGGGATTTTTTCAGACTTGACTTGTGACAAATGACCCCGTTTGAAAACAGTACTTTTGCATTGTTTATCACTGTCTGATATTTATTTATAGATATATGCTTAAGAAATAGTAGAAACCGATAAACTCCGCTTGGAGACAGAGTTCATGTGGTTATGGATATGAATTTTGTCTCGTTTTACATATTGTTACACCATAGATATCGGTATATTTCCACGGGGTTATTCGTTGTTCTAGTCATTTTTATCACTAACCTTAATATGATCTTATGATTATGTAAAGGACTTCGTTGATTTCATTGTACTATCTGCCTTGACGCTATATGGCATGTGGACGTGTAGACACATTAATAGACACGACATGACAATGTACATGCATATTGGTTAACCGTGATTTCATGATGACTTGTAGGCAAGCGCCTGCTACGAAAACTGTTAAATACATCACATCATGTTATTATTCTACAGATGTGGCAAAGGTAATAGTTTACTTTATTATTATTTCCAAATGCATTTAAGATGTATGTTTTATTTTTCCAAAGAATACAACCGAGTGAGCGAGCATGGTTTTATGCCACTTTTTAAAGCAATATTCCATCGATATCACGGAGGTGGACACTAAAAATGGGCTTCACACATTGTCGCCATGTAGAGAATCGAATCCTGGTATTCGGCGTGACGAGGGAACGTTTTTACTCACTAGGATACCTCTCCGCCGAAATATCAGTGCATGATCATACATTCACTGATATTCTCAAAGCCAGTGATTCCATCGTAAAACTCAAAAGCTGATCGTAACTCTGCGGCCTTGAATCACATGGGAATAAGCACTGGATGTTCTTATTAAGACTCTACATCCTTCATATATATGTGTATTGCATGATTGTATTATTCACTCTGTAGAGTTAAAAAAGTAGCAAATGATGGAACCTGGTGAATTATGTTTTGTGTCCTTTCAAGCTGACGCTTGTTAAATGGAATAATTTATGTGGTATGGTATGGTCATGAAAAAAGTGTTTAGTTTCATTTCAGTCACTTATAAAATAGTTTGACAGTGAATATCACTTCTGTCTGCACGAAGGCACAACGCGTATATCACCTGGTACAATCACACCTCTCCTTGGGTCACCTAACTAAGCTTATGATACCTCTGAACACCATATTTGTACAAGAGGATCGAATATCGCGATATGGCCCCCATAGTTTAAACGATATATAATGGTGTAAGTGCTTGTTGTCAGTGGGATTCAACCTACCGTTCGTTCTCTACTATGTTTTTAATCAACTGTGTGTATGTTGACAATATTGCTATATTGTCTCTAAATCCACTTGTGATGTCTCCTCTTCTCTTCACCTGACTGAGAAACCTGAACTTTGGTATTTAACAGTTTCTCAGTTTCCTGATTCCAGTACTATATATCTGGAATTCCAACCCACACTCTCAGAGATTCATCTAATCACACAAAGACTGCGATCGAACCCACTCAGATACCGCGGCTGCTTCAAAAAATGAGTGAGTGAGTTTAGTTTTACAGCGAATAATTGAGTCTGGACCAGACAACCCAGTGATCAACATCATGAGCATCGATCTGCGCAATTGGGAACCGATGACATGTGTCAACCAAGCCAACGAGCCTGACCACCCGATCCCGTTAGTCGCCTCTTACGACAAGCATGGGTTACTGAAGGTTCATTGTAACCCGGACCTTCACGGGTCTTCAAAAAATGACGTAGTCTCTTTAGCATGTATATTTCAAATGTTTATTGTCTATTAATCGTTGGATTAAAGTTGTGTTCGTTGACGTTCATAAGCTCATGAATTTTAAACACCAATTATTTAATAACCGAACTTAATCCTTGTAATGTGAACTGTATAAACGTGAAAATGTCTTTGATTGCTACGTCATCCGTCACAAAATTCCATGCGGAGTTCTGTCCTTTGGTCTCACAAAGGTAATAACCTAGCAATTTCCTTCACATGAAACTGAAAACCAGCCGGTTGATGCTGAAAATGGATTAACACGAATGTTCTGTGAACTTCGACTGTGTGTGTGAGTCATATTAAGGCCAGATAAACTTCTGATGACGAGGATTACTACTTGGGGCGTGGTTGGATTTCCCGAGGCAGTACACAAGCATTATTTGTTATAACGTTGAATGGACGCTTCGTTTAGGTCACCCGTCATGTACAGGGCATATGTGATCTGTCTAACAGGAATTGTAGTACAATGATACCGTAGTTATTTCGAGTTATTTTTAGACTTTGAAGAATTCCCCAAGATGTAAGTTTGTAGTTCTCTTGACAAAGTAATGACGCCTAAAGTGACCTCATCGGGAAATAGACGCCTGTTGGCTTGATAGTGTTAATCGAGGAGACGTCATCCACTTTTGTCAATATTTACAATTCAAATAATCATTGGTCATTCAGGTAAAAAATCTTTCAACAAATTTGTAATCTAGTACTACGACAGAGGGATACGTCACTGCTAATGTGACAGCGAAAAATAACAGTCTTTCAACTTGTCGGATACCGTCATCAGTTTGGACTACAGTGAACATTTGTAAGTGATACATGTAGTTCTGTATTCCAAGGTAGTCACTGAGGTCAAGGACGTTCCTATTTGACTAATGAAAATCCTTCTCGGGCTTAGGACACCTGCGCAAACTATGATTTGTATGTATGCTGTCAATTACAACTATATGAATAATATTTTAATTTATATAGCAATGTACTATAGTATGCATAATAACAACTGTACTGAAGCCATTATCTTTGGATTCAAAGGAAACATGAGTGAGATAGCCTCAGCGAACGCACCACGGGAAGATCTTGAGGAAGCAAAGAATACTCTTCACTACTTGTTGGGAGATGACAAAACAGACACTGACGACATCGTTAGACGTTTCTCGGAAACCAGCCACATGTATGACAAGGTGGGTACAATAGGAGATGGAATGGTTTGAATTCAAATTGCCTGAAATTTCCCACCGGAAACAGCGACCCTCCTTGTCTGAAGAGCAAACGGAGCAAAAGAGCAAATTGATAAGCTCATGAAAATACCTAGATTATATAACACTTATAAAACTCTTTAAGGTCAAGAAATATTGAATATCTTCCACATTACTATCTTGCACAACACACGCAGGGGGATTCTGAGTTTGACGATAAAGGTTCCCAGTTACTTGTGCTTGACGTCAGCGGCCATTGTCAATAAATTAATTATCTTACCTGGTACAGACTGGGTCATGTACATACCACCGTTTCACAGCTGGAATATTGCTGAGTAGAGCTCTGAACAACAAACAAGCAAATACTTTCTTCCATTTACAACTGATCTTTGTGACGTGAAACACAAAATCACTGTTGATGCCTAAGTCATGTCTTCTTTTAAGGTCGTGGACGCAGTAAGCTATTCAAGTCCTATGCAGACTGCCAAAGTAACTGCAGAGCTGTTTCCTGGCAACAGAGAACATATCTATATTCTCGATGCGGCTGCTGGAACTGGACTTTGTGCAGAAAGGGTAAGCAGATGACTATTTAAGTGATGAAACACACTTAACGTCACCTTGGTAATATTTCAGCCAAATAGTGACGAGAAGAGTTATGTTGAATGAAGTTAATATCTGTCACAGAGGACAGTATAAATATTAGCAAAATCACAATTTATGTCTATAAAGGAACATTTTCAAATATTAAATAATCTATTTAACACAATTATTAAATATCATATTTAATACAATTTAAATACTGGCTGTAGATCGCCAGCAACTAGATAACAGATTAAATCGTTACATCCAAGCGTATGTCGATATCAAGTACGTCGAAATATCATATTGTTTCCTTGCATTATAGTACACACAGGCATAATAGAACATTTCCTTATGCAGTAACTTACATTACGTGGTTTACAACGCTTCGCGACTCAACACAATAATAACAGTACCTCTACGTTGTGATGGTAACCTCACTCACTCTGCAAGCATTCCAAATTCCGCATTTGAAGCATCAGTGACAAAAGAAAAATGATCAGATGCATTCTTGTATTTTGGATTTTACAATATGATCCTATTTTTTATTCCGATGAACAATTGACAAACATGTCTACGTGTTATAACCATTGCCACGGTAGGGCAGGATTTGTTCACCCTTACGCAAACACCTGTTGTTTTCACTATCCTATAGCGGTTCACATACACATGCTTATGATATAGTCCACTCCGTTTCAGCTGAGACTAGTTATGGTTGAAACAGCTGTTTATCTTTTCTGATATTTTGTTTTTACACGACATATATTATCGAATTTCTATTGAGTGAACCGTTGTTCTTGTCGTTTTTTTTACAGCTTTTCTCTCATGGCTTTCGGAAAATTGATGCTCTAGAACCTTCAGCCAAAATGCTTGAACAGGCAAAGACGAAAGGGCTGTATTGTCAGTACTACCTGAAGGGATTAGGAGAAAATACGTTAGACATTGCCAATGGTAAGTAGGGGTATTTGTTTGTGATCCCGATACTATGTCGCTTCCAAGGGACACTTCAAAATTTGATGCATCAGTGACAAAAGCGATGTCCCATGCAATTCCCTCTTTTGACTTGAATTATTTCAGGTTAACAATGGACTAGACTTCAGATGTTTATGACAGGTGCCACCGGTGGGGCAGGACACGCTCACCTTTTCCAGTGACAATCACTGGATTGTCTGTTCCAGAGTTTGTTTACAAACAACATCGTACAGCTGTAATACTGCTGAAACAAACATATAGTCATGATAAAGTCACAATTGTACAATCGACCCTGCTTTTAGCAGAGATTTCTTATGGATGTGGGAGGGGTTTTGTCGCTTGTATTTGCATATTTGCCATTCTGGTGCCTCAGTTCAATGTGAATTCATGCACCTATGTCTGTAAGTATTATCTGATGACTTACACGCCACACATAGTTTTGTACAACATTACCCACTACAGATCGTGGATGCCACGTCAAAACAACATATTCCATTCAATCAAACAAATGTGATTACATGTTGTCATACGCAACCAGTCATCACTATTCTAGGTATGCCACGGCAATTTGTATTATCGGGTCTTGGCCACAGGCCCTCCTGTCTTTGCGAGGATTAAAGATTTTTTAAAATTGTTTTTGAGATGACCCCCGACTCGAAATGCTTCACAGTACAATACATCATGATTGTACATCATGATGTATTGTATGTATGGTGATGCCCCTCGTAGTGGGCGACCTCGTGAAGCATTTCGAGTCGGGGGTCATCTCAAAAACAATTTTTTTTAAATCTTTAATCCTCGCAAAGATAGGAGGGCCTGTCCAACTAGATTGGAATTTATGATTTATTATTTCAGACACGTATGATGCCGTAACCATTTGCGCGTTGAGCACAGTGGTTTTGAAAAAGCTGCCTATTAAAGCATTTGAAGAGCTCATCCGCATTACCAAACCAGGAAAGTATACCTGAACTATCTTCTCGAAATTAGTGTAATGTTAATGACATTGTGCTAGAGTTGCTGGACCAGTTCTGGAGATGTAAGTAACATGTGGTGTCTAGTCGCCACAAGAGGTATTTTATTTGATGACGGGTAAACTACACAAGATTCATCTATTCAAACGACATACGGTCACGAACTCTTTGCAAAAACGGGATAAAGAAGGTATACACCTGAAAACTGTGTTTTTGACAAAACAAAACAAAATTAATGTTATCTCGGCTTTCCAAGCTGTAAGGCTCATGACAACGGACGAAACTCAGGTAACCTACGGTCCAAAAACTGTTACGGTGATCCTAGTCACTAATCCATCACTGTCGAATACTGATTTCCTATTCCAGTTTTATACACCTATTTAACAATGGGTGTATAGTTTCTTTTGACGGTCAGTTTGTGTTACTGGTGTATCAGCCGTGTTGTTGAAAACAGAAGGTTGAATCTGGTCAGTAACACTTTAAATATGTAAGCCCGAAAAATAAGTGTTACAATGGAAACACAGTATTAGCCATGACGATCATACACGCTCTGTCTAAAAACTACATACCCTATTCAAAAGGTCGCAGTATCTTCTACCATCGATATTAGCACTGCAAGACGGAGAAGCACTGTGTACTAGGTGAATAATATAGTACGCAACACAGAATAGGATGAATTCCTTGGATGATTAAGCTCGACATATTGTCTGATTATTACCTTTGTCGAGTCTCACACACCATATATGTCAATTAAATATTTTAAAAGAGAAAACTAATGGCTGACATGTGTCCTAGGGATAAGAGGGGTCTTCTGAAAATCAATCTTTTTCAGTCATCCCGGATTATGAAAAGTTTTGTCTCTTTGTATCTACACACATTTGAATCACCCTCTATCCCCTGTTCTTCTTCTCTTCAGGCGGATATATTATTAACACCGCTTACTCTCGCCTGTTTTCCGACGATGGGGATGCTGAGGCAGTGGTGTTCAGAGAAAACACGAAGACACTGGTATCCCAAGGGAAATGGAAACAGGTGGAACTGACCCTCTTTCACCAAACCTTCTTCGATTCAGATGGGGCCGTTTCAGTCCACAAAGTCCTGAAATGAACTTATTGCTAATTGCATTTCAGGACCTTCTCATTATGTCCTGGATGCTTTGTAAAATATTTCCCTTTATGTATTAATGTAGTTGGATGAAACACAAACGAATTTACTCAGTATAGGACAAACTTGATGGATAACAACTTCTTTTTATTCGTCGTGAATTCCCAAGAGCTTCATTTTGTCTGGTTCCAATAAAAATTCACATCCTTGCATATTGAATCTGAGATGGTTTCTTCAAACCAATCCAAATTAATTTGGTCTTTTCAGTATTCACTTTGAGTCCTGAAAATCTTGCGACAAAAAACCAAACAAACTGAAAATCTTAAAAACTGCTTGTAGTCCCGTCTCTGATTCTAAGGTTGAGGCAGTGTCATCTGGAAACTGCTCTGAAATATGTTCTATACTGTCCGTACTTACACCCTTATATGTTTATCCTTTCTAATACGTTTTGCAAGAATCTCCACACACAGTATAAAAGTATAAGGAGATACTGGATGACAACCTGATGTTATTGCAAGTTTCATATCCATTCACTAAAACACTGGACTCCGCCCCATCAAAAGTATTGTAATCCATTTTTGAATTCTCTGGCCATTAATGAAAAATACATTCTACCATGGATACGTGAAATGCTCGAATTTGATTGGTCAATCAATAAAATGAGACGGTATCAATTTGGATTGAAAATGCGTCTGATTTCACGGCGCTTCACTACGCACGTATACAACACTGCCGCACTACTTCAGCTTGGCCACCAACATGACTAATATCAACACAACAGATCGACGTGATGGAAATGCTGATGAAACATTTATTAAAACTCGAAAAATACAATTATACGATTTCTCCTCCACAATTATTAGGAAACCTCACTATCATAATTATTATCTTCTATTATAAAATATTCAAACCCAATTACAATACACAACCCCAAACATAAACAAACAATATCTAACATATAAATGAGAAAACCTTGTAACAAAATTAAAATACATCCCTATCTATCCCAATTTGTGCGGCAAAACGTTCGTAAACATTTACCTACCTGGTAAATGGTATATTTGTTTCCGTTTAGAATGAGAAATTCGCAAGAGTGTAACGGTCAGGCGAAACACAAAATTTAGGCCACTCACACTCCATCATGTCCCGTTGCATCGTTCAAAATGTAAAAAATTGAACCACGAGAATTCCGCTCTCTGCCACCTTCCCCGCAAAGCTGTCACTGCTATGTTCGTACACTTTGAAAAGCTTGGCCACAATCCAGTCCAAAATTATGAGAACAATGTTCCAAGGAATACCAAGTTAGTCGCATGCACACTAAGCAGCAGCACTGTCACTCTTTTGTCGCATGCCGGGGTGGAGGCAGGTACGTGAAATCAGTTTTTGATGAGTTACAGGTCATAGGTCGATCAGAAAAGGATGTATTCTTCGATTCTGCAGGGTTCAGGATCGACAGTCAGTCAAGTATTTTCCACTGTCACTTCGAATTTCAACCTTTCGCAAAATGTAAACACTGGTTCGTACGCCATTTCAAACTGTTGCGTAACTGTCTACTTCCAAGAAAATAAGTAGGTCAGACGATTCAATTATAGTGTGTGTGTGTGTGTGTGTGTGTGTGTGTGTTGTGTGTGTGTGTGTGTGTGTGTGTGTGTGGTGTGTGTGTGTGTGTGTGTGTGTGTGTGTGTGTGTGTGTACAGTAACACAGATAACAAAACAATAGTCTGGTTTCGGTCGTGTGGAGTTATGATTATAAAAACCAAGCTCTTAGGTGTTACATTATTGCATTGAATAAACAGTAGTTTGTTTTCTTTGGACAGAATATTCTTTATGTTGCAATGTTACCAAAAATACGAAAAGCACCTACCACTCCCTTCACAGGCGAGCTCAATTCGCCTCTCGTCCCATGTCGGATGACGCCGTGTCTTCCGCAGGACGAGGAAGTTCGATATTAAATCAGTTATCGTAGAATGGAGATAAACGTACTGTGTTTCGAAATTAGATGAATGGTAGACCGAATTAATTTTGTCTCTAATTAATCATTTGAAACCTCACTCTACGCGTTCGGCTTCAAATGAAATTTAGAGACTATCAATTCGGTCTAACATTCATCTAATTTCCAAACACAGTACGTTTATCTCCTAATTATAACATTCTGCATGAATTGTCTATCCACAGAGCCAAAGGCTTTTTGATGTCAATCAATAAAATCGAGCCAGATTTTGAACAGGTTTCTGTACAATTCATCAAATCATAAATCAGTCTAGTTATTTCCCCTAAATATCTCCCTTCTACAAAGTCTGTTTTTTATGGATTATTTGTGGTAGAATCTTATAATGCTATTGATTAAGTGGCTGCAAGAGTTCTAAGGTCACCAAGGAGTTGAGATTGATAATACGATGTGCCTTTGAGATTGACATCCAATGATCTAGGGAAAAATACCAGCGCCTTGAGCATGTACTAGTTGCATGGACATGTGCGCTATAGAAATATCCTATACCAAAATAAAAATAATATTAGTCCTTGTCTTTGTGTAGTAGATAAAGATCCAGATTCATATCCATAGTTTTATGAACTTATCAAGTATTTCCCTAAATCATTCCAGAAGAATTTGATAAAACATCTCCTGTAAAGCCATCTGAGCCTGGGTGTCGTACAAAGCGATCTTAGTATCGCTAAAGTGATCGTAACTCCCATATGCCATAGCATAGACTTACGACTGGCGTATCGCTAACGTTGATTTGTAGAAGGGCATCCTGGGCTTTTACCATTTTTTAAGAGCCAAATATATTTCATTATATACTCATGGAAAAGAATAAAGGAACGCATGATTAATCTAAGCTTATTTAATGTACTTGTATTGAATATGACCACATTGTGACACAAATGTAGAGCAGGAAGGTTTCCCAAGTCAGTATCCCATGTGTCCTCCGCATCTGTGACTTGCTTCAGCACACCTGTTTGGCAGATTCCGAGTGAGTTTACGTGTGACAGCTCCAGGAATAACTCGCCACTCCTCTACCAGAGCATCATACAACTGATTGAGATTCTGGGGCTGTACCTGACGGCCTCTCACTCTTCGACCCAAAACATCTCAGGGGTGTTCAACGGGGTTAAGGTCCGGACTTTTCGATGGTCAGGGCAGAATCCTCACGCCGTGGTTCCTCAGACATTCAACTGAAACTTGAGCTGTGTGGGGCCTGACGTTATCCTGCTGAAACTCGAAGTTCTGTCCGACACGTTGTTGGAATGGCTCAACTGTGTGCAACAGCACCTCATCACGGTAGAAAAGGATAAATAGTTGTGAAAAATGAAATTCAGTGATGACACAACTTGATTCCCGAAACTGTAAGCTTTGCATATTTTACCGGTGGCACAGACACAAAAACGAATCAGAGTTCAATCAATCAAGCTTTATTTCGGTACTGAGGAGGCCTCAGGCCTATAGTACATTAAATATATTCAACTTTCTTATCATCATGCTTGATTAATAAAACAATTTAAATAATTCAATAGAGAAGAAAATTTATCAATTAATGGATGGACAAAATAGTATTTTTTAATATATTTTACATATAGTAATATATGCTGGACATACAAGACGAAAATTATATTCGCCGTCTATAGCATAATTACAGCATCTACAGTAGAATCGGTTTGATTTTTACATCAAATATTCTGAAAAATGATGTTAAACTTAAATCCCCGAGTATTTATATATTTTTCAATATATCTATAAGTACCTTTCGTGCTTGAATAGGTGTTATGTGTTGTCTAAGACCTGACTCGACAATACACATGCACAGTTATAAATGATTGGCGACACATGTCCATGTTCTTTTCCAATAAATCGAAATTCGATATTGCATTACATGAAAACAGATTTTAGTGCATATGGAAAGTACTTTCCTCTTTTTTCTTTTTTGAGATGGACTTAGACCAAACATAGGCTGCTTAGGATATGTAAAGCCCTGTTCGTTGGCTGTTTAAATGTTTAAATATCTGCTCTACAAATAATCAAATCTGGACCTGACAAGCCAGGGAACCACAACTGATGACATCCCTACTGCTGTTGAGCCTTGTAAAGTTTGGGACACATACATAGTCAGGTTCTATGTCACCAGACTCTACTCTAATCTACACTTACACAAATACTTGCTCTTAATGGATCTGTTATTACATAGATATGCTAAAATGGAATTGATACCAGTTCGTATGATCACTTTAAACCAAATTAAATGAGTATGAAACAAACTCCAGCAGTCTTTTAATATTTGAATGAAACATACCACATACCAATTGTTATGATCAATATTTATAAAACACGTGTAAATATTAACATAAAATGTTCTTGCTATAGGTGCATTCAGGTTGCCTGGCGTCTTCAGTCAATGTTCCCCAGCATTCCATCACTGGTGACTCTGGAACGAAAAGGTATGAGTGTAAAGCCGACAAACGTTAACAAGAAAGAATCATTCTTTCACAGAAAAGAGTGCTATGGTCAACAGCAAGTTACACAGTTACCGTATGTCGAACTAAGTCCTTATTTTACCATCTTTTAACGTATTTTTGTGTTACAAGTGACTATTGTATTGCCGATATGACGTTAAATATTAACTCACTCACTCACTCACAAGTGAATATTGATTAACTCCACATTCACCCATATTCAAACTCTAAGACATCCATGTATGGACTCAATCAGTGAAAACTAATTCCTTACAAAAATGATTCTAGGAGTCATTCGACAATCTAGTGGCTTTGGCCTATCCTGGAAAATGCTCTTCGTTGGAGCCCATTAATGAAGGAGATGTCGGGTTGAATATTTATTCTCAAATTAACATGCAATGTCGCTATATAATAACTGATAGACCATTGAAAAGATGACGGACGTGGTCGAGTTAAATCACCGTGATTTTGGTTTTAATCCGCAGGTTTGAATTCAAGATTCGATCTAATACGATTTAGCACCAAAACCTTATCGTTGCGTTTCCCATGTGTGGGACACGTTTGCAACCGAGTTTATGTAATAACTGTGTGAAAATGCTATATCCGATGTTAGCCACAGATATGAAAGACTCACCTTCATGTCCCCTGGAACAGGTATGCGTACATAAATGTAAGCATATAATGGCCTAGTTTCTCTTTTAAGAAGTTCATACGTCAGTGAATTTAACCCATCTTTTGTCATTCTTGTTCTTACTCCTTTCAACAGGTTTCCTCTGCAATGAAGATTTGTGTCTGGCTTAGTGGTAATAACCAATCCATGTACACATATGAATCTTTAGGACTAGGGGCGGTGGGGTAGCCTAGTGGGTAAAGCGTTTGCTCGTCACGCCGAAGACCCGGGTTCGATTCCCCAAATGGGTACCCCGCCGTGATGTTGCTGGAATATTGCTAAAAGCGGCGTAAAACCAAACGCACTCACTCACTCACTCACTTCAGGACTAAATGTTTCTAAATCTGTCCTCATTGTGTATTCATGTACCCGAATACAACACTGACAGCACTGATCATTTTACTCAGTGGTAGCCAACTTTCATAATGCTGTTTCTTGTATAACGCTTCGTTCACAATTAAATCTCATATACCAGTGTGATGTATTTACAACTCACGAGCATGGAGGGTAGACTGGAAGTGCTTTTACTCCATCTTAAGCGTCACAAGCTGTACATGCCGCTCACAACACTCATTTTAGAGGTGTGATATTTTATTAACGCTTCAATACAACACATGACATCTCCCTTTCCTATAAACTATAAACTTAATAGCAAAGTCAACTTTACTGTTAGAGTCACTTGGTTATGATGACTTGAAAATAACCATAATTTATGAATTAACAAAGTCACTGAATCTCTGTGGTGGTTTGACTATTCAACTGGACCTGGTGACAGTAACAGGTTCATCGTTGGCAGGTGTCACCTTCAACTCGGTCCGGTTGTTGTCATCATGTCTCATCATCGTTGTTGTGACGTCATGTTGTGGCTGTTGTAAGGCACTTGGCATGATGTTCTGAGTAGTTTGTTTATCCATTTGAGAATTACCATTAGTAAAAGCTTTGGTCAGCTTGCACTGTGACCTATTCTTTCTGAGCTGTCATTTACTTGCTGTTTCAACTATGTAAGATCTGGGAGAAGAATGCTTTGCGGTCACCATTGGTGGAACCCACTTTTGCTGATGTTGAAACACAACTTGATCACCAGGAGTCAAGGGAGGTGACTCCTTACACCTTCTATTGTCATAATAGAATTTCTCATTCTGTTATTTCTGTTGGAGTTTCTCTCTGACATCAGTTGCGAATTCAGGTTTCAAGAGCCTTGCTGCAGTCGGTAGAGTACTTTTTTAGCGACGTCCTAAGAACATCTGTGCAGGTGATAAGCCGATTTCTTCTATAGGAGTGTTTCTGTAGCCAAGTAAGGCTAGATTTGGATCACTGGCCCTTTTAATCAGGCTTTTTACAGTCTTTACTGCTCTTTCCGCCTGTGCGTTTCCACGGGGGTAGTATGGACTACTGGTAGTGTGTGTAAAACCATACTTCTTGCTGAACTGATGGAAATCCGAACTGGAGTACTGGTGTCCATTGCCACTTCATCTGGAACATCATATATGGATATTTGCTTTTTCATGTATGAGATCACATTTACACTTTCTAAATTCTCCACTTTTGACACTTCAGGTTATTTAGAGAAGAAATTCAGAGTAAGAAGATAATGGTCTCCTTTCCATTCGAAGAGATCGGCAGCCACTTTCGACCAAGGCCTTTCTGTAAGTCTGGTGTGATCATAGGTTCTTTAGCATTAGCAGTTTGATGCAGGGCACACTTTTAATATTTAGACCACCATTTCTCCTATTTGTGAAGTCATCCCAGGCCAATACAATACATCACGGGCCCTAGCCTTGCTCTTGACTATTCCCATTTGTGGTTCATGAATTTTATCCAACATTTCTCTTCTCATTGATGTAGGTACAGTCAACTTGTGAGACGTGAATAGTAGACCATTCAAGCTTGAGATTCCGTCTCTGAAAGACCAATATTCACCTAGTCCTTGAGGTAGACTTTGTTTGGCGTTTGGCCAGCCTGGGAACACCACATTCTGGAGATTTTGAAGCACATTGTCTTCTTTAGTTGCTTGTTTGAGTTGTGACTGTTTTTCTTCAGAAACAGGTAAGTATGACAGCAGATTAACAGCGTTAATGTCTATTTCAAACACTAGAAGCTCTGAGTACTCATGCAAAATTTATCTTCTAATATTGCAACAAAAGCAAAAGTTGCATCTATTTTGTGCTACTTGTTCTGCTTTTGGAATACAAAGGAATATATTTTTAAAATATTACCAGATTCTGTAACCCGCCATATGGTACTCAGATTGATACTTTGTTGTAATGGTGTCAATTCTCAAATTAGTTATTGAAATGAAAAATATTGAATTAAGGCCATAACGCGATTAAAGTGTTCAATTAATTATTCCGATTATTCTTGTAATATTCGGTACGTAGTTCACAATGTTGTTTGTTACTGAATAAAAGGGTGTAAAAAATGTTACCTGTCCTTGTTCACATGGTTGGTTGGATCTCGTTTATGTTTCACCATCTTATATCGACCAATCTCTGCTGGCCCACGTGACACTTTCATACCATGTAGATGAACTCTACAAACAAATATGTATATATATATTGGTATTTGTGGATTTAAAGGCAGGTAATTGCTTCAGTTGGTATGGCGTGTTCGGAGGACGAGGACCAACGTTCAGTGTTAGTTTGAATGTGAACATTGACTAGCCTTGGCATGTGTTTATGACGGGGGCACCAATGGGGCAGAAGAAAACCCTGCTATCATCATTCTCTGATAATAACAAAGCGATAAAACCCACTCCATGCGAAAACTCGATTGTACAACTCCGACCATATTATGAGCTTGCTTATGAATTACTATCAGTGAGTGATATAAAGTCGCACCGTGACTATGAAACCTACAGATTAATATTAAAAAACAATATGTAATGATATGAAATTCTAAGATGCTTCGGTGAAAGATCAAAGGCGCCGACAATACATTATCAGACGATAATGTGCACTTTTTGCATTACGTTACAATGTATTGGCGTCACTACGCTATTCTAGTCTGTCCCCTCGTAATCGAACACTTTTGCATTACGTCACAATGTAACCGACGTCACGATGCATGTCGGTTGTCATCGCCTCGTACAGCCTCCAACAGTAAACTACTCCGAAGCGTCCCCGTACTTTAACTATAATAGTTCAGGGCGAAAGTGTGCTTTATTGCACTATACATGATGGAAGAGCGAGCTGTATTTCTTAAACATGTCGACAAAGGACACAGTATAAAGACGGGCTACATATCACCAGCAACCATGGAAACATTTCAATAAACATTCATGAGTATATATGCTGTGGCCAATATGGCATCGTCTTAAAATTACCTCTTTAAATCTGTACTGACAACCCACGTCGGTGTAACCGACAGTTGGCTCTATTTTGTGTAATTTATTGGTACCTACCTAGGGGCCCCACTTCTTTTGTATCAGATTCCGGAAGTAACTTCTAACAACAGGTTTATTAAGTCTGTATGGGATAAGAAGTGGCGTCACAGTGTGTGTGTGTGTGTGTTTATATATTAAAATGGACACTACGTCCGTCCGTGTAAATTCGTTTTTTCCAGAGGAGAACAAAAAACCGTTCACATTTTCCTCACCATGGCACATACATAGGTCTGGTGGTGAACTGGCCAATTGGTAGCATTAGATTTCTGAATATAATACTTTTTTTGCGCTTTCCATGGCAACAAGTCTGACTTCGAATAAAATTGGTGTTGGTGCTCTTTATGGAACAGAACTTTATAAACCGTTTATCATTTCTTCACCAAATTTGGCACATAGGTTGTGCCTTTTGTGGTTTTGGATTTCTGAATATTTGAGTAAGAAACAACTTTCAGTAATTTCAACTTTCAGAAACTTAATATGTGCTAAGAAAGTAAGGTGCTGTCAAAATATTACTCCTTAAAATTGAGCTTCCTTTACAACTTTAACGGAAGTGCCTGCTACTCTGTGTCCCTGTGCAGTTTACATTTCCGACAGACATTGACTGAAAATAGTTTAGTTTTTGAAAACTTAAAACCATTTCGTTCTGACCAATCATTAATTCTATTCAGACTTAACTGCAATTGTATTTTAATCTCGACATGACACATCAAAATCATCTACTAATATTGATCCATCAAAGGTCATCATTGATCATCATTTAATACTCTAGATTAGCTGTTTTTTTTATACTGAACAAAGTTACTGATAATACGCTACCTTGTGGCACACCCTGGTCTTAATCATATCAATCAGACATGGTGGAATCTACACGAGCCGATCTGTTAAAAAGGGAGACAAACATATTGTAAACGCCTCTCAGCCCCATTTCATGAAGATCTTTTTAAAATTCCATACTTCCAGGTCGTATCGTACGCTTTTTCTAAACCGAAAAATATGGACACTGTGTTGATTATTGATAATATAATGGAAAAGTTCGTTAAGAATGCTAATTAAATGGTTGGTTGTTTTTTCTGAAACCACACTGGATATTTGAAATAAAGTTATTTGTTTCTAGGTACCATATTAATCGGCTGTTGACCATTGGAAACAATAGTCTTACAAACACAACTAGTTAGCGATATTGGCCTATAATTGGAAGGATCAGCTTGATTACCGCCAGGTTTTGGAATTTGAATAACGACAGTATTTCGCCACGGTGAAGGGAAATTAACCGTTGTTCAAATCTGATCAAATGTACGTAAAAGCGTTTCTTTTATACGTAATAATATTCGTAAACAGGATTCTGGCAAATGTATATTATATCTGATAGTGGATATTGTCAGCACCTAGTATCGTGAGCTTGCCCTAAAGCGGTAGGCAGTTGTGGATGGAAAAAATATAATTACAGTCGGTTAACGCTGTGATGTAAATATGTCCATTTCAATGTGACATTTGAATAACAGCCACAGGAACCCTGCGCAAGAAATCAAGAGTCTATACTGTCAATTTAACTTTCATCCTGAGCTTGTGTTTGCGAAAATGTGAATATTTGCTGGCCAAGCAGTGGCATCCGTTTCAATGACACGCAGAGATTGGTCAATTGTTTTACCTGTAAAACACGGGCACATACCTTACAAATCAAAAGTTGTTGTTGCATCGGACATATTTTCATCAAATATGGAAATGCAATACAAATATCTGTGAAAAATGGAACTTGAAACCTCTGCTAAGACTTTGAGAGTTGTGACGGTGATGAAGCACCTTTTGAGCAACAGCTGAACGACGGAATTTGGTATCTTCATGGAAACAGCATGGTTGTTTTATGTGAATGTCATTTTTTATGTTTATCACACTGCCAAGCACTCGATTCATTATTGCTCGTTCCGTTTGCCAGATGCCAATAAATGTAACCTGGCAATTCCACACTATAATTAATTGTATTTTATATCTCACCTCCTATATATATCATCATCCTCGCAGCCCCATCCGAAGTACAAATTCGACCAACCGTTCACTTTGATCATTTGATCCTTCGTCAGTGATACAACCCCTCCGAACGCAGATGGGTACGGAAGCCTAGATAAAGAAACAAGCAAAAAGAACCAAGTAAATGATCTGATTGATAACTGTTATTTACTTAAGGTAGTTATCAAGCAAACCTACAAACATATAGCCCAACAACTTAAGGCAGTCGTTGTAGTAATGATGCAGTCATGATACAGTCTGTTTCAACAATATTGTTTGTTACGCCCATGGTTCTTCCACTGACAACAGTGTTGGTTGTTACGCCCATGGTTCTTCCACTGACAACAGTGTTGGTTGTTACGCCCATGGTTCTTCCACTGACAACAGTGTTGGTTGTTACGCCCATGGTTCTTCCACTGACAACAGTGTTGGTTGTTACGCCCATGGTTCTTCCACTGACAACAGTGTTGGTTGTTACGCCCATGGTTTCTTCCACTGACAACAGTGTTCGTTGTTTCCACTGACAACAGTGTTGGTTGTTACGCCCATGGTTCAACAGTGTTCGTTGTTATGGTGATACAACCACTGACAACAGTGTTGGTTGTTACGCTCATGGTTCTTCCACTGACAACAGTGTTGGTTGTTACGCCCATGGTTCTTCCACTGACAACAGTGTTGGTTGTTACACCCATGGTTCTTCCACTGACAACAGTGTTGTTTGTTACACCCATGGTTCTTCCACTGACAACAGTGTTCGTTGTTATGGTGATACAACCACTGACAACAGTGTTGTTTGTTACACCCATGGTTCTTCCACTGACAACAGTGTTGTTTGTTACACCCATGGTTCTTCCACTGACAACAGTGTTGTTTGTTACGCCCATGGTTCTTCCACTGACAACAGTGTTGGTTGTTACGCTCATGGTTCTTCCACTGACAACAGTGTTGGTTGTTATGGTGATACAACCACTGACCGTATTGACCTTTATGACACAGTCATGATGCAGCCATTGACAACAGTGTTGATTGTTGTTCCACTGACACAGTGTTGATGATGGTTCTTCCACTGTCAACGTCTCACAGTCATGATACAGTAACTGACCACAGTGTTTGTGGTTCTTCCACTGACCATAACTACTACATCTTAAAACAGTGTTTGCTGTTATGATACAGACCTTTTTTAAGATCTTTGATGCAAAAATAAACCCAATTTTAACGTATGGAGCAGAAATCTGGGGATTAGTAGACTTTCATCAAATAGAAAGAAAACGCTTGTATGCATGTAAGAAATATCTTGGTGTTAAATTGAATACAGTTAACGCAGTGGTTTACGGTGAATATGGCAGATATCCTATACACTTGTTTAAAGCATAAAAGTTGTCACATATTGGATAAAACTGTTAAACATGCCTCCATATCGTTCAACGAAAAAATGTTGTAATATGTTGTTATTGTATGATGAAAATGGACAAAGAAACTGGACATCTCATGTTAAGAACTTCTTATTCTCTATTGGCTTTGGAAACGTTTGGAATGCACAATATGTAGAATCTCATACGTCATTCATGCAGTCGTTAACCATATGACTTAAAGATATATATCTTCAAACATAGTGTGAGAAAATATTTTTGTCAAGAAAATGTTTTTATTATTCACAATTTTAAAAATAGATCTATTCAATGAAGTATACTTATCATGTGTTAATATAAAGAAATTGAGGCGTTCACTGGCAAGATTCCGATGTTCATCTCACGATTTCTTCAATGAAAGCGGCAGATATAAAAATGTTAAAAAAGAAGATGTACACTCTGTAATTAAAATGAAGTTGAAGATGAATACCACCTTCTTCTCATCATGTCCATTGTATAATTCAATACGCTGTAAATATATTAAAGGTATTACTATGTCCATCCAAATATCATAAAATTCTCTACTCTTATAAGAATTAAAAATCAAAATATATTACAAAATCCTGCAATGTTCATTCACAATGCAATGTTGTATAGAACAAAAGTTTTATCAGTGTAATGTAAATATATTTATTTATGTAAATCCCTATCATATATGGATATGTACAATAGGCCTGTGGTCTCTTCAGTACGAAAAAGAGGATCGGTTGATACAGACATCAATAGTAAAAGTTGTGATACATTTATAAAACATCCAGAGAGAGCAGTGTTTGTACCTTTGATTCAGTTATGATACAGTGTCAACAGTTGTCGTCGCGATACAGACACTGACCACAGCGTTTTCTGTTGTAATGAAATCAAGCTGCATCCACTGTGATCAGTGTCATTTAGATGTCATTTTAGAGGCAGTGGGGATACAGCGGTGGCAAGACACAACATGTTTCTGTTCATAGATTAAAATATATGAATGCTGCAAATGGTTGGATGATCCTGGAACACTCGGGCCTATTCCACAGAAGTTTATATTGATCATTTGCCATTGCACCTCCACATATTCTGAAACTTCACTGAGCTCTGAGTCAACGAGTCAACGACGTCTCTATCAACCTAACCACTGACAGGTAGACCGTCATACAGATCCTAAAACAAATATACCCAGTACATTCCATGCAAATCCAGATAACCACGGTTCCAGGGTCTGTACAAATCTGCTGAATACACAAGCGAGAACAGAATTTGTAATTATCAGTTTATCTGAGACTGAGTCAAGACTGCCTGCTCCTTCCCTGTCCTAGCACCCAGACAACAAGTGTGATTACATTAAAGACATAGAGACACACACTATCTATCGCTTTTCTTTAGTTGGTTCATTGTTTCTCTGAAAAGAAGAGGGGATGATTTCAAACAGTTTGCATTAGGGGAGTGAAAATGAACACCCTTGAAAAGGTGGTGAGGGCAGCGTGTGTTTTGGGGAGAGGTGGTGGGGGCAATAAAGATACCTGTCATGCTTTCATTTGGTATGCCAGTGATGTGTCATGAGAATCTTATTAGATAAGCAACAAGTATTGCTCTGCAGATTTTGTTAGTATCTGAAAATGAAGACAATCTCTTGGCTCCTTTCTATTATTTTTTATGCATTTATTTCAGGAACCGGTTTTTTCGTACAATGTGTTCATTTCAACGACTAGTTGTTTGTCTAACCGACAGGGTGCTGTACAGTCTCATTAAATTCATTCCATATTCAATATTCCATTGTGCAAAATTACACTTTGACGGTTTGGAGTGAGAAGAGACTGACCCTGATCAGGTAAACAGGAAACCTTCTGTTTCATTTTTCGGAGCCACCAAAGCTACCGATCAGGCTTGCTCTACTCAACACGCCGCACACAAACTGGATGCAACGGTCGGTCGGGAGACTTTACATGAAAACCTGAACCTCTGCCATTTTGAAATGAAACGTTCCTTAGGTGACAGTCATGTCTGTATCTTCGAGCAGCAGTACTGAGCCATCAACAAAATCAACACTGACCTTGAGATTGTGTCCAAAACCCTTGGTTTGTTTACAATGCATTATTTTCATAAGTTTTAATAAGCGTCATCAGAGAATCATTAGAAGAATATATGTGTACAAAGTGCATAATAAAATCATGACGATCGTGTTAGACAATCAACGCCCTCCCACTGTCACTTGTAGGTACAGTTTTCGGACATTATTTGTCGTGGGAGTGTGTGAATACAGTGTCAAACCAAAAACCAAATCAGCCAAACCAAAAATACGGTTACAGCAAACATGTAGGTACATGTGGCTTTTTCTCAGGATTTTCATTTCTATTCTGCTCGATGTCCTTCCATGATAGAAAAAGCCATTACTCACTTGTAATTATTCTTGTCGACAGAAACGGCCAGATGACTTGGGGAATTGTGACAGTTGTACAGGTTTTTGTCGTTTTCTGGGATATGATCGACGTCTTGGAATATAAAGCACTGGAAATCATAGTCCTTTAATGCCTCCTTGAAGCCTATGTTCATCAAGATGGCTCTGTTGAAGGTGGTTGGCATTGCCTGCGACAAAACATGAGTTAAGTAAAAAAATAATATCAAGAAGAAAGGCCTGATGATGTACGCCTCTAGGTGACGAGTCTAGATAGGTTGGACACATGTTCCCTGGACCAAACGTACATCACCCTGTTGGATGATTGACTGATTGACTGATCATTACAAGTTCAGTAGGTGTTCGGGCAACTAGGCCCATTTGCACCTTTTCCATCAAAAACAGTTTCTAAAATGTCACAAGTAGCAAAGCTTCTACACGCTTAAATGTAAGCAAGAATGGCATTCTGAATTTCATGGCGAACGATATTGAGAGCTGTAAGAGTCCACCATCCGCTTTCGTTGATTTACATATTTGTAGCAATGCAGTAAATGCTGAGCCACATTATCTAGCTGATATCACACTTTACAATTGTCAGAAATATCTTTATTAACAATATTGAGACAAGATCACAATCTCTAAGACAAAGTCTGGTGAAAAAGAATATATTCTTTCCGATTGTTTCGAGATACATGTGATTTAGTAACAAAACGTTCAATGTCATTGAGAAGGCATCCATTTAGTTACAGCGTTTACCTTACTGACAGTGCATAATTCTGCAGGAGAAGGCAATATTGTCTCCTCCTGTTCTGATTCATCGAAGTCTAGCTAATGCAGCTATTGCTAAATCATCACCAACATGAATACATGTAGGTATCTATGACAATTCAACATCTAAACGATCTTTACTTCATTCATTAAAATGGTCGAGTTTAATGTCAAGTCCTGCCTTCCTGAGGATGAACCTGCCCGAACTGCTTCTGAAAAGCACTGACTGAATCACTGAAAATGACAACTGACCACAGGTCTTAAAATGAATCCAATACAATGCTTCAATGATTGCTGCAGAAAACACTGACAAGTGAACAGCTAATCGTAAAGAACCATCTAGTTTGTCGTTAGCAATGAAGACACCAGTACAACCACGACCGGACACTGGGCACGTTGATCCGTCAGTGGAAATGTGCATGACATTGATCCACTGTAAACGTCGGAAATGTTCCTCCGCTATGGATTTAACACGAGGTGCTGGCTCGGATTTATTTACCAGTTCCAGTACATCAACACAAAGTCATGGAAGTTCAAGTTACTATGGTGGCTTCTTAGACAGAACAATAATATCATCTATGGTAACATCACGTACATTATGATGGAAAGCAGTTCTCTGAGAAGCCCTCCCATAAGGCCCCACACCATCTTTCCAAGGATCTTAAAAATAATAAACATAATCTCCCAGAACAGACGTAGGGTATTTTATCCCAAATGATTTCAATTTCGACATTGATCTAACTTCTAAAGTTTCACCAGATTCAACTTGTAAAACCTCAACAGAGGTGGTTCTGAACATAATCGTAGGGCTTTTGACTAGACAACATCTAGTTTCGCAAATCCATCATCTGAACAGCTCAAGTCGAGGTCTAATGAGGGCACTGTATAACAGTTACACTTTCTGTCGGCATCCCATTATGTTTTGAAACCAGAGTCCCAAAAACCTTGGCTTTATCCTCAAAATCCAAATGAGAACCACACGAAACTAAGTTTGAATTATGAGGAATCTTCTTCTGTGTAAAAATGACTGCAGATGATTTAGAAGCTGGGTTCCTAAAACCCCAATGTACACACCGATTCTGTACAAGATAGAGAGATTGTTGAATGTCGTTGAAGACAGTGTTAACAATACCCGACCGTGAACACAATGCTCCATCACCTGCAGGTTGTGATCTTATGACCAGTACATTGATATTCTCAAACAGATCACTAATCATCACTACATTATATAATTTTGGGCTGATTACACTTCCTTCGGGTGGTACCGTTCTCTAACATTTAAATATACAACAGAGTAGGTCTGTAATTTATGGTCCTTCTACTTTGAAAACGCATAACGTTGTATCTTGATAAACGTTACCTGACGATAACAATTTTTCGTGTAACCGGATGAAATATTCCACAGAGGAAGTACTGCCATCTCTGTTATTAGAGCAAAGCATGGAATTTCTTCTAAAAAGCTTCACAGGTTTTACCTGCTAATGCAAGACTGTTTCATCCTCAACCGGATGTGACATAACTTGAACTGCCAGTTCTGTTTAAATTATTAATTATGTGTATAGTGCAGTAACATTTGGAGATCAGTAACATTATCCGATCTGTAACGTCTCATCACTTGTTACAAAATTGAAACTACCCATAAGCACGTCCGGTTACCAATGAAGACTAACGGAATCTGGTGGTCAGGCTCGCAGCCAGGGCTCAGACATGTCAGCATATCCTAACTGCGTAGATACATGATCATGCTGTTGATCACTGGATTGTCTGGTACAGGCTCGATTATTTACAGAACGCCAACATACAGCTGAATTATTGCTGAGTGCGGCGTTTATAAAACAAGAACAAAGTTAACGAACCACACGTGATGCATGTGGTCTCACCTTAGGCAAGTGAATTTGTTAAAAATTGCCTCTGTTCACTCAGCAGAAAATGGGTACCTGGTGGGATGAGTAATATGACTATTAACCTTCTAGCTCCTCACAGTGCATGGCTTTGCGGTATTGAGATCAGTGGCTATGTAAGTGGCCTTATTATCAGAAATGTCACAATTTGTGAGGTCATTCGTTGATTTTTTGCGTCTGTGCTACCATGCTATCTTAGGACATGATATTGAAAACCATGTTACTGCTAAATGGAGTAGAAACAGCATTCACCCATCGGTTCAGATACAGAAGAGTTTTAACCATAAGCAGATCTATGTTTAATGTATAATCAATGTATTTCACAATAAAACATATTCTATATTCACCTCCCCACCAAAGAAAGAGGGATAACATCATTCACAACAATGATGTTGCCATTTTATTACAATGTTTGAAATACATTTTCCTTACCATTTCTATGACGAAGATCCCGTAGTCTAGTTGCTGCCGTTGCAGAATGGGGTGAAGGTTGTTGAGGAGGACCTTGAGGTGGTGCTCTCGGTCGCGATAGGGAACAATGATGGCCACTCGCTGACGGGACTTACAATCCAGAGGATGGAATCTGCCACCCGGTTTGATTTGTGGATTATGCCTTTTAATATCCTCGAATGATACAGGTTCCATATTGACAGCTAACGCACCGACTGAAACATCCAGGATATTATCATGAATTGTTGCTCCAGCTTAAAAGGCCAAGGAACTGTCCTCACATGTAATGTTTGAGTGTAATGTGTCGGATGTAACACTGGTTTGAATAGTTTTACATTTATATATATTGGCATGCAGGCTTATAGTGGAGGAACGCGAGATGTGATGCAGGATTTGAATAGTCTACTCAGACTTCAGAAGCATGTGTTAATACTCGGGTGCTCTCTAAATTTCAGGATGAAGAACAAGCATTACCACAATCCAAATAACAGACTCGATCTGAGACAAATTCGAAGATAAAAAAACTGTCAAACCTAGAACGGAAACTGGGAACAGTTCAGAAAATCGCATAGAACTATTTAGTAACAATGGTTCACTCGAGGACATGGATGTGTCAGAAAACATCCATCCCAGGGCACACAGCTCGTCGCCCTCGAAGAAAGTAAGGGTTATATCCCCTAAGAAGCCACCTGAAAGGTTATTGTAATAACTAATTTTAATTAAGTACAACAGTTAATCCAGGATTTAACACCCTCGGCATTCTGTCGGCAGGAAACGTATATAAAACAGACGGATATTCTATTTTACCGCTCTGGGGCAGTACCAACACTAGTACTAAGGGTAAAATACTGGAAGATTTCATTTCCAACAATGACCTGTATTTATATAATGATGATTCAAGCTCTTATCTGCATCTTGCAACTTGCACTTACTCTTCTCTGGATTTGTCTCTTGCAGATTCTAACCTATTCAATGAATTGGACTGGTCAGTCCTCAATGACGTTTGTGGAAGTGAGCACTTCCAAACTATCAGAAATAACTCCGTTGACTACACTGATTATTCCTTGTATACAAGATGGAATTTGTCGAAAGCTAACTTGTGCTTATACCAAACTGTATGTAAATTGAAGCTACAACCTGAATGTTTCAGTGATGGAACTCATCCCATTTAGATTTTTTCTGACGTTTGAAATGAGAGATCTGATGAGTGTATACCACAGTCCTCTACGAAAAAACACGTATGGAAGCCATGGTTTAATACCGTAACAAATCGGAAATTGCAAATGACATTGGCGAAACTCTTGCCAAACATTCTTTATCGTCACATTACCTGCAAATATTTTCAAAGGGAAGTTAAAGGTCAGAGTGTCAAAATCCTTAGTGATAACACAACTGCTATCTCTTGTATGTGTCATATGGGAACTAGTCATGCTAATTTGTGTAATAAGGTTACAAGAATACTGTTTGCCTGAAAATGTTTGGTTGACTGCTGCTCATATATTGGTGTTAAAAAATGTTGAGGTGGACTTTGAGTCTCGTTAAATTCGCAAAGACACAAAATGGAAACTGAATAGTGAGATATTCTCGAGAATGTGTAAAAGACTAGACCAGTCTCCAAGTGTTGACTTATTTGCCTCAAGGTTAAACTATCAAGTATAACCATATATCTCTTTTTGCCAGACCCAGAAGCATTATCTGTTGACTGTTTCACTATTTCATGGAAAGAATATAACTTCTATGCTTTCCCTCCTTTCAGTATAATATCACTAGTTTTGCAGAAGACAGAAGGGGAGGGGGCGACGGGGTCAATCATAGTCCCTCTGTAGACAACGCAGACCTGGTGGCCACGCTTAATGATGATGCGCATTTCCTACCCTGTGCTGTTACCCAAGGGCAGAGAACTCTAGTGCTACCCAGTCACCGACAAGAAGTTTTTCCTTTGTACAAACCTCTTACACTTGTAGCATGCCGCTTGTCGGGCAGCTACTTGAAGGTAAAGGACTTTCAAAGCGGTAATACTAATAGTATATTATCTACAATACTACTGCCTTGCAACAGAACTTTCGACGAACATCCTCTTTATGAAAGGACTCTGTGAAGTTAAATCTACTATGCCCCGATATTCAGAAATATGGGACGCTGAAATTGTTCTAAATTTCATTAGAAGTCAGAAAACTTTAGAGTTAAGGTTAAAGATTTAAGATTTAAAACTTGTGATATTGTTAGCGTTAGTCACTGGCCGGAGATGTCAGACTTTGAAGCTGCTCAGTATTAATAACATGAGAGAATAAACTGACAATTTTGTGCTTTAAATTACTGAACATGGCACCCATGTTTGCCGGTAGAGCTTGTGGTTTATGAGGACTCTGACTTTTGTGTGGTTTCATGCTTAAAGATGGACTTACAAAAAACTGAAACTGTAAGAACTGACAAACAACTCCTTGTAAGCTACCAGAGACCGCATGATCCTGTGTCGTGTGACACTATAGGAAGGTGGTTCAAGTGAGTGTCACAGCAAGCAGGTATTGATGCCAGTGTGTATAAGGCCCACAGTGTCAGGGCGGCTTCTTCTTCAACCGCCTTTAATAATGGCATCCCAGTGGACATTATTATGAAAAGTGCGAGTTGGAAAAGAGAGACAACTTTTTAAACCGTAAATCTGTTGTTTCTGTGAAGAATTATGGTTCAATGTTTTTGAAATATTGTAAGGAGTTTACTGTTTGATGAAAACCCTGTCTTCTGACATTAAAATGTCATGCATGATGGAAATTGTTGTGTTCTTCATGGACCCATTTGTTTTCAAATCTCACGTGGATACTAATGACGTCAAAGACCTAGTAGAATTGTAGAATTAAACGAAACCTACCTGTAGGTTGAAGTTTGATTATAATAATACGTAGTCTCTGTACGGAATGGAGTATTTGTCTTTTGTTTTGAATTCTGGCTTTCATCATGTCGTGTGTTCGAGAAAATCGCGTAACGTTCTGAGAGGATAATGATGGAGCCAAGCTTAGCTAGAATGCTCGAGAACTGTGTCAGAGCTAAATAAGGGCTGGTTGTTGAGTTGTGCGATGGGCGTAACACATGACTGGATGTATACACATCTGTCTGCCATCATCAAGTTGTTCAACGTTTCATGACTGACCGTGCTTGTCTAGTCAACTGATGTCTTTGTAAACAACCTTCAAACCTTCAATCACCATTGACAGATTTGTGACATGTTGTCTATAAATATGTATTGTTTCATTGTAGCTTCCTCGTGTTCATTAATACAATGCAGTTCTTGGTTCATGATTAAACCTCACGGCATTCAATCAATGACAAAATATATGTCAAAATGCTTGTGATCAAAACCTGCTTAAAATGCATTACCCACAGGTGCTTACGATTCTTTTCACAGTGCTGTTGTAGGGGAAACAAATGTTTTCATTAAGATTCCTATGAGCTATGCTCTGTTATTTCAAATGTATTGATTTAATATTTTTAAGCAACACTGCAGGTTATCTAGTTCTTGGTTCATGGGTCTCAAAAATGCTTGTGAGACGTATTAACGCAGTGCTTGAGCTTGAGCTATACCTCTGCCATGTATTTTTACCTCTATTTCCACTACCCCATGGATAATTGGAGAATATATTCATGCTAATTGAAAGATCACAAGCACAAGCACATCGTATATACAATGTGCATGGATTAGCCTTTCCATATGCCATACAATCAAGCGGATAAAAGATACTTGATATGGATGTGCAACCTCTTTATTATTCATCATCATTCACCTGATGAAGGGGCAAGTATTAGCCCAGAAACGTCGTGTGTAAATAATAAAGAAGTTGCATATCCATATCAAGTGTCTTGTAGTACCCTTCCAACCTCTAAATGCCTATATCAAACATCTAATCAAGCAGATATTCAATATCATAAATACATTATAACAATTTAACCATGATTAAATATAGTAATTAGGATGTAGTTGTGTGGAATTTCACCATTAAGGTGCACAAGACACCAAGAAAACACCAATCTTTATTAGAAGCGTGTTTAGCACATTTTGCCCTACCTTTAGTACCTGGTACAATCACATGCAAAATCAAGTTACCGGATGAAAATGTGAACTTATGGTACGAACTTCATTCGCTACTTCTGTGTTAGTCAGAAAATAATCAATTTATCCTACTGAGATGGATTTCATCTTGAATAGCCCCAACCCATACAAATACAGCAAGAAACAAACAAACACACAAACAAAACCAACACAAATGCCATAAAAAGACTACAAAGCATTCAAGTTGAATAGTGGATCTTACAACACGTGTCTTATGTGGAAGAAATTCAGAAATATAGGTATGGTCTTGAAAAACCAATAAGCACATCCTGGGCATGTTTCGATCCATAATTATGCTGACACCTTATACAAAGGGCTAAGTGTCTGGAAATAGGACATTTTGATAGAAATAGATAACTCGGTTTACACTGAATTATCCCCAGTGAGCTCGGAGATTCAGAACCAGTGAGAGTCTAGATTGCATTGCAGAAAGGAATATGAGACAGACTACTAGCATGTCTGGGGACCCAGCGATACATAGTGAATGTGGTTCTTACAAGGAGGGAAATACATTGTGTTGTTTATAATAGCATTTTGAATGAGAGACAATTTCAAGTCCGAGTTGGATCAACCTTGTCTGATCATCACACTCAGGATCAGGGTGTTCCACAAGGCAGTATTTTTTCTGTCACTTGATTTAGTATTAAAATACATAGTCTTTCTAAAGTTTTAACTGATTCAATCTATGTATCCCCTTTCGTGGATTTTAATGGGTTTGTTTTGTCGTGGAAGACATATGCAAAGGGCTTCACAGACAGATACAGATCTGACTCAACAAAATTCACAGATGATGCCTTGAAAACAGGTTTAAATTTTCTAAATCGAAAACCAATTGTATATAGTTTTGCAGAAAATAAAAACCGCTTAAGGACCCAGAACTTTGACACACCCATCAAAGTTGTAAAGGATGCAAAATTGTTGTGTTATTTTTGAATCCCATTTAACGTGTTTGCCTCATATCAGATATCTTAAAGCCTGAGGGCACTCGATTTGTTGAAAGTCGTTCCCATTTCAAAGTGGGCAGGAGACCAAACCACCCTCCATCCCCCAAGCTATATTCTAATGAATTGAGCCCTGCATTCAATTGTGTTTTAATGCTCTT